CACAGCAGGGACACACTGCTGTCAGTGGATTATGAAGTTATGGAGTAGGCTCTCTGTCATTGCGATTTCATAATTCAGATATTATAATGAGCAAAAGGCTAACGCGAGGTTAGGAGGAGATGTCTGCCATAATATCTGAATTATGCCATCCAGTGTTGTGAATGGCTAACTTTAATAACTAAATCTACAAGTCTCATAATCTACAAACAGCTGCTAGGAGAAGTTTAACTAAAGGGCTTTCTGTCAGACAGGGATCTCTTGGTTAAAGTTGGGAAGAAAAATTTTGGTTTCGGTTAAAACGAATAGATTTCAGCCAGTGGGAAAACTTCTCCCATGTGCCAAACAGCAACAAGTGCTCCGAGTCCCAACGGTGTGCATCGATTTTTAGTGTTTGCTTAGTGTCTCCCCTCTATCCATCTATGCATCCACCTCCCTCTCTCCCTATCCATCCATCCATCCACATACCTCTCTCTCTCTATATATATCTATAGATAGAGACCTACCTACCTACCCATCCATCCATCCATCCATCCATCCACCTGATAGTGGTTGATAGTTGGCTGATTTACCTGCCCCTGGTTGACTGACGCTTCCCTGACTGCCCTGTTTCCCCACAGCCTCTTTTATTCTCATCTGTATGCAGACTTTAATGACATTACATAATTTCCCAGCACACATCAACCTGATCGGAGGCCTAATGAGCTTGAAAAGCTGAGAAAACACCTGTGTGGGTGTGCAGGGCCTTTAACACATTAAGACTGCAATATCTGAGAAGCTCCAGGACACTGTTACACCTCTAATCGATCTGCCAAGGAATCCACTTTACACTTTAATCTAATACCTCCCGGTTCTGAAAAGCTTTTAAATCGTGAGAGGAAGTCAACTAACCGAGGAGCATGTAGAACATGAAAGAGAGAGTGAAATATATGGCAGGCTGACGGGCTGAAAGGTGCGTAAAGAGGAGTGCAGATATCTGTCCACCTAAGACTTGTAAAGTAGATGAAGCATTTACACATTCTGCAGACGTAAAGCAGCATTATCATTTATGGCCACCTAGAGAATGTAACTCCAACTCTGACTCTCCTCACACCTGTTTTTATGTTCACCAGTTATCTGCTGTTTGGGGCTGAGCAGATTGGGTACATTGAGTTTATCTGCGCTTTCTCCATTGAAATCAGCTGTTTGCTATATAGAATTAGTGTCACTATATTAAATCAAAACAAAAAATAAGAATCTGAGGGAGAATTGAGCTCATCCATCCATCTTCATCCACTTAGCCGAAGGGGCGGCAGACCAAGCAAAGCACCCCAAACATTCCTCTCCCCAGCAATGCTTCCCAGGTCCTCCTGGGGGACCCCAAGGCGTTCCCAGGCCAGACAAGAATCCCTCCAGCGTGTTCTGGGTCTGTCCCGGGGCCTCCCACCAGTGGGGCGTGCCCAAACACCTCTAATGAAAGGCGCCAAGGACCCCTGGGCCCTCAACTGACCCCTTTCAACGCAAAGGAGCAGCAGCTTTACTCTGAGCTCCTTACCCCATCTCTAAGGATGAGCCCAGACACCCCACAGTGAAAACTCATTCTGGCCGCTTGTAACTGTGACCTCATTCTTTCGGTCACTACTCAGAGGCCAGGACCGTAGGTGAGGGTTGGGACGTAGATGGACCAGTAAATCGAAAGCTTTGCCTTCCGGCTCAGCTCCCTTTTTATTGAATTAAACTCACTGAAGAAGAAATGTCCTCTCAGAAGTTAAACTTATAAACTGCAAATTATTTGTGCAATGGTGCAAGTATTGGATTTTGACTTTTTAACATGTACATAACATTTCCTTTTGTCTATGTTTCCCTCTGCTTCTTTCTCTCTCATCAGACTCTTGCCCTAACTGTCAGCTTTGTGGTTATGCTGTCATCTCTCTTGGTCGCCTTGCCAGAATTCCACTGAAAAAGGCACGCATGCAGATCCTGAGAACTATGACAGCTACAGTTACTTAAAAAATAGTGATATGGGGCATTGAATAAGCTAGCACGCACCACAGTCCCTCCGCCTCACTCCCCGCTGCAAGGAGACTATATCGCCAGAGTAGGGGGCAGGTCCAGAGAGTAAGTGCAACCTAACAACTCTGATTCAGCCAATGCAAACGCAGCACAGAGGGTCTGATCCCAAACTGCCTTGCCTCCCCTACAGATAAGCAAACTTTCTGTTGCTGCCATTACACGGGTTAGACCCAGTGCTGCTGCTGGCCACCAGTCTGCTGTGATCCCCACTGCTGGGGTTTGAGCTGTCTTAATTTTTATCAACTGGGTGATAACTAAAGGTCTGTCTCCGTAGCTGCTGCCCACTCTCTTCCCTTTCTCACAGTAGTTTCCTTACTGCAAAGACCGAGGTTGAGGGACCACTGGGTGCGCTATCTAATTCTTATCTCATTTGTAGCCTCATAAACAGTACATGCATTAAATTCAGTGCCCTATATTGCTGTTTTCAAGCTACTATAGCTGTCATATTTCCCTTGACCCATGAGTGTGGTTTCCATGGAAATGCAGCCCTCAAGATTTTCACACGGAAGTGGGCGTAGCTTCATCTAAAGTGGGTTGGAAAAAAACGATAGATGCCAGTGGGAACTCGTGTTATCAAAAAAGTAAGACCATGACATGACTACACAAATAATATGTTTGCAAGTTATGTTTTACTTTTGAGGTGACAGTCTTTCACTTCAGTGAGTTTTATTCTCTCAAATTCTTATTCTTGTTTAATATTTAAAAAGTTTTGTTTTATTATATCAACAGAAAGAGGATTCCATACCTGCTGCATCTGGGAGCGCTGATGAGAACAAGAATGAACCAAAGCTCTGCAGAGCTGAGGGAAAGTGCAGTCCGGTAATAATTCTCTGTGAGTTTATCACTAAATTCATTTGATCCATCGACAATATGAAAATTTGGATTAGAGCAAACTTACTTACATTTTGTTGTGGAGACATTCAGCAACGCTGCAACACAGGATCACACATCTTCCAGAGTGCAGACTTCATATGGACCACCCTGCACAGCCAGTAAAGGATATGTGTGCATAATTAATAGGACAACCAGAAATGTTTTGGTTACCCTATTTTACTTCTAAACCCGTACAAGGAGTATTATTATGAAAACTAGAAAAGCACTCGGAGAGCGCAGACCTCTGCCAAGCAGCTCAGATTTCCCGCCATTTTATTATTTTATCCACTTGGCTTCAACCGATCACCATCAAAATTGTATCATCTGTTCCTTGTCCCATTATCAACCTTTCCTGAAAATTTCATCAAAATCTGTTCAGACCTTTGAGTTATTTTGCAGACAAACAAACAAACAAACAGACAAACATTACCTCCTTGGCGGAGGTAAAAAATAAACCAATTGCTCGGACATCTGGAGGGAGCTCAGAGTAGAGCTGCTGCTCCTTCGCGTCAAAAGGGGTCAGTTGAGGTGGTTCAGGCATCTGATCAGGATGCCTCCTGGGCGTCTCGCGTTACAGGTGTTCAGGACACGTACCACTGGTAGGAGGCCCCAGGGCAGACCCAGACAAAAGACATGTCTGTATCAGTGAAGCATTTGAGATGGAGAGAAAGTGCTGGCAATCATTTATGCTGCTGCTAACTGGTGCTAAAGGCTCATGGCTGCAACGTCAAGTTCAGGTTTATGTAACTACGTTTATTATGAATTGACCTTTTGCAGTAAACATGAAGCCCACACTGTAACTAACGGCACTCCCTGAAGAAATATTATCATATTTTTGGAAAAATGAAAGAGTGATTCCAGAGAGAAGCAGACAGAGGGGTCTACAGTCTGTGTTTGAAGGATATATCCAGGATATCAAACTGACTCAGCAGCAACAACAGGTTAAAAAGACAAAGATAGTTAGAAGCTAAAACCCAACTATAGGCTACAGATCACAGTGTAAAAGTGAACCACCACATCACTGCTGATCGCCACACAAGACAATGAATATAGAGGGAAACTTTGCTGATACTGAACCAGCTGTGTGGCATCACAGTGTGTGCAGATGAACAGTGTTTGGCTTCACCCCCGTGCTGCTGCCAGCAGCCGGACCTCTGTGCAGGGATCTCCGAGGGAAGTCAAACAGCGTTCATCTGTGCACAATGTGATGACACAAAGCTGGTTGAACATCAGCAAAGTTTCCCTGCTTCCCTTCACTGGTTCCTGTACAGCAGGGTCGGCCTTTATTCACTGTTATAATCGTTAAAAAGCAAAAGCAGCATGTGTATACATTCAGTAGGCTATATCTTCAGTAGCTAGCTAGCTAACCCTGCACTTTTCAGGGTCTGATTTTGGTTTTGGAACAGGGAAGAAACGTATATCTTTTTCCAACCTCTCCAGGTAACGAGTATCATTAATACACGACGTGCCCCAGGCACAACATTTAGCTCCAAATCCACAAAACCAGCCTGAAAATGAAGGAAATCTGAAACGATTGTATTAGAGTGGTAGCAGTTCTTTAGACAGACCTCCAGTCAGTGGTTGCAGAATCCAGCCAGTGCAAACTCCACCTCCTGGGGACCAGACAGCCCCGACTCCCTACTAGATCAGCAAACAGGTTATCCCTGGCACTTTTGCTGGTCACAATCCCACTCGTGAGCAGCGAGTCCTAAGTCCTCAGCTGAGGGGAGTTAGGCGGAGGGACTGTGGGTTGGCTAACTAGCTACTTCTTTTCTTATTTGTGGTCTGATAAACAGGGCGGGGCATGGAGGGGCTGTGCCGAACTCTAGAATGAAACTGGATTAAATAAATCATTGTTTGGGAAACACTGGTTTACTATATAAAGCTCCTGCATATTCGTCTGGTGGGAGGGTCTTAGGGTAGAAAGGGAAGAGCTGCAGGAGGGAAGTGTAATTCAAATTCTGACTTTTTTTCTCGCCTTTTCCAGCTTTAATTACCTTCGCACAAACATGTTTCCCAGACTTATTTAGGCCAAACCATTTACCAGCTTAATGAAAACAACAAAATTAAAGAAACGCTAAATGTTAGTTTCCTTTTATTGGTAACAGCAAGCTGAGTAAGAGTCTTTTACATCATTGACAATGAATGAATGGTGTAGGAAACATATTGAGATATACCCTGGTACATTACTGCTCACTGGCCATTTTCTTACATTTACACAAACTTCTCAAAGACCAGCCAGTGTCTCTGTGTGGACGAGGAATTACGTTCCCCCAGTTATTATGAAGAAAACATCTATTCAAACTCAGACTGCTTAGTGTTGAATTATCTGTTCTGATGATGATTTAAAAATGTTTATTCCAACAATCATTGTGAAAATATTGTTACAAACTTAACTGAGATGCATTCATGTTTTTAAAGTGTTTTAAAATTGTTAAATAGAAAAGTTCACAATCGGAGTGATTGTGCGATGGCTTTCAATCGTTCTTCCATCTCATTACAAAGCCTGAAAATAATCTCTTGCTTTATTGTGTTGTGCCCTTTAATACGAAGGCTTCTGCATCTGTTCATCAACGGCTCTTCAAATGTTTTAAAAAATAACATGGAGAACAAATCAGTTAAGGTTAAGCAGCTTCAAAAGCTAAAAACAATAAACCGCTTTACTCTGGAATGGAATAAAGAATAACTGATCCGTTTGCATCATGTTTTAAAAGTTAACAACCTAATAAATATAGGAAAACTTATGTGGAATGCATAAATTATCTCTTAGAAGAATTACTGTAAATGTAACGCACAAGCAGCAACTAAACGTTTCACAAATAGCCTTGCTGGTGAAGTATTTCCTTTAGAAGAGTTTGCATTTTAAACTCCTCTGGCAATCCTATCAAAACCTGAAGTTATCATCTGAGCTGTTGTTGAGGAGCCCGGCAGGTCGGATCAAAACAGTTTGATCATGCTCTCTCTGGACTTGCCGACTCCGACCCACTTCACTGAAATGAAGAAAAAAAAAAGACAAGATGTGACTGGCAGGTTTGGCAAAGCGAATAACAATTTGGCTGCAGTCTATCCATTAATGCAAAGTGCCTCTTTACAAACCTGGCACTTGCAGGAAGTCCTCGATGAACCGAATGTAGTTCTGTGCCTGCGACGGCAGCTCCTCGAAGCTCCGGGCTGCTTCAGTGCTGCAGCACCAGCCGGGAAACGTCTTGTAGTCCACTGACACCCGCGTCAATACGTCCATGTTTGCTACAACAGAAGCATGTCGATAAGAGTCAGTGACAGGTGAAATGTTTTTGTTCTGGTTTACAGTTACTGATTCCTTACAAGACTGTAGGGGTCTTGTAATGAATGGACGTCAAAACAAATGCATAAGGATACGCTTCTTTTCATGTATTCTGAACAGACAGTAGTGCAAGTCTCAAAGACAGACAAACTTCTGCTGGTGCTGAGGAAGCATTCTGCCCACTAGGAACTTTGGTAAACTATCTTATTTACAAAAATACAGAATGCTTCTGTATTACACTGTACGAACAACAGATCAGGATTGACTGTAGTTATTGTCAGCAGTCAGAATGACCCTTAAAGTAATGAAAATGGAAAACTTATTTTTGGTTGAACATATGTTTTACGCATATAAGTGACACCATTTTATAATAGACATCACAGTGTACCCAGAAACAGGTATACCGCTGCAACCCTAGCCCTCAATGTCGGGCAGTCAGTGAGCGTCAGTCGCCCTAGTTTTAGCGGCGTGTCCCTCAGTGTTGGCACAAGTCAGACCATGTCAGCTTTATTTCGGCTGATGCATGTTGAATTGGCGTCTGAGCTGGTGAAGCTTGTTGGTGAATGAGATCACTCTGAAGGGCAGTTCAGCTCAGCGCGCGAGACGAGAGACAGACTTGAGGAAAGCAAACAAATGGCTAAAGTCGAGGGAGTGAGATTAAAACAAATTTGTTATACTACATACAATTATGTTTTCTCTAGTCACTGGGTTGTGTTGTTAATCCGTCCTGTCGGTCTTCCGGTTTTCCTTTCTTAATGACAAATACAGACTACTGCCGCTTGCAGGCACAGAACCATTGCACTAGTTGGCCATTGGCTGTAGTCTCTGAGTGTTCAAGTGCAACTTTTTGGCTGAGATAAAGGTGACGTAAAGCGACAACAGCTGCCCTTTGTTGACATTAGTTCTTTGATGTCGGTCTGGTGTGTCTGGGCCTTTAAATGGTGGAGCAATGCCAACACACTGTCCACGTCTTATACACAACTCTCTTTCCATTGCTGCTGTAGCTGATCATGAACCCACAGACGGGTCTTTCAGCTCCAGTGTTTCATAGTGAGACTGACTGCACGCCAATCCACTTGGGTCGAGATGGTTACCCCAGATTCATGAGAACTCAACCCAAACCATTACGCTTCCCTAACCCTAACCAGGTGCTTTTTGTGCCTAAACCAAACCAGACCTTAACCACAGTGATGTCACACCATAAAACAGCAAGAAAAGAACAATTTGAAGCAGATAGCGTCAGTTTTCGTGAATCTACAGTTACCATCTAGCTATGACCTTACATCGTGCTAACCTCAGCATATGTTCCTAATGGCGTACAGCGTAGTTTCCAGGTGGATCTATCACTTGTGAAATTTGGTTCCACATTACATGCATTTATCAACATACGTCTGCCTGCTGCTGTGTGCACCATACCATGACCCCCAGACAAATGACGACAGACTGTCAAAGACAACTGTTATGTTCTATGTTTTATTATCTGATATAATGTGATGCTCTGAAGTGTCTAATTGTTGAAAGCCTGCAGCACAACCTGGAGAAACAATACAGATCAGGATGAGAGTGACTTCATCAAACATCAAGCACCATAAAGATGATAAATGTAAGAGGGGAGTTCGGCGATAACGTGCTGGCCAAGAGCAGCTGCAGTGTCGCATGAGGCAGAAAGAGAGAAGTTGTTATATCATCCTCTGCTTCATTATCTTAACAATTCAATTTGCTCCATTTGGCGGCGCATGCAGAGAGATACGGAAGATAAATGCACCCTCAAATCTGCTGTAAAATAGATTTTTAAAAACCCAAGATGTTGCACTTCCTGCTAGTAAACGCTGACCTATGTAAAAATAAGACATTAGAGAGACCTGTAACCAAAGTATACTTCTGAAAATGATTATCCCATGGAGTAAACAGCTCCTCTCCAGTGTTTACAGTAATAATGTTTCTGGCATTAAAACATTTTGGATGGTTTTAAGCGTGAATATCCGGAAATTGAGATAAATGTGAGCAAACATTTACACCTTGTGTTGTAGCCATGCAATGCAGACAGGAAATGAATGGAAAATTTTGACGACTGATTCATTACATGATCATCTAAGTCTTTTATTTAAGAAAAAAAAAGACACGTGCACTTGTTCCAGTTCTTTTGTAGGATTTATGTTATCAAAATGTGTGTATCTTTGGGTTTCCAGCTGTGGGTCGGATACAGCTGTAGGTTCTGTCATGTTTCTGTAACTCATGGGGTGCATCTTTCACTATTTTCAGGTCTTCCTAATCAGTTAATTGCAAAAATAATTGACAGATAATGAAAATAATCATTAGCTGCAGCCCTACTGTGCCTCAGACTCCGCCCCCTACTTGAAGGCAACACTAAAACCTAATCTGAAGTGATTAGTGATTAAACTAATGCTTGTTGTTGCAATGTTGCATCCAGTACTATTTTCTGTCGTGGGCAGAAAAAGAGCAGCTCTATAAAACATCTAAATGGGAATGACTTACCGGGGAAACTTGGTAGAGGTTGTCCATCGACCTTATAGGCCACGCCCACTTTAATCTCTGGCAGTGTGTCCAAAATGTCCAGCTTTGTCAGGGCGATTCTGCAAAGGAGAGAAGTCACTCTGTTCAGCTCTGATGGCAACAGACAGTCAGAGTGTGTCGTGAAGTTTAACTGAAACTAATTATCTTCTGAAATGGTGAGATAGTTACTTACGCAGAGAAGCCATTGACCATGTGGGCGTATCTGACCAAAATCAGGTCCAGCCAACCACAACGCCTCCTCCTGCCCGTCGTCACGCCGAACTCTCTCCCTCTGGACTGTAACAGTGCTCCAGTGTCCTAAAATACAACAAACAAGAGGCACACGCTGTCAGCTGTGAAAGACAAAAGCAAAACAACCTCTTTGGAAAAACTATTTTCACTTTTAAAATCCGTTATTTTTTTCAGGGATATCATTTTGATTCTGCCATTTTGACACCTTAATTTGTGAAGAGACAGTCAGCTGCACACGCCCTTTAACAGTCACATACTGCCTCAGTTTCACACCCACATGTGGAAGCTGCCCAGTACAACCACACTCCTTTACAGTCGACCACTGAGCAGCTGGGGTTGAAGAGTCTTCTTAAAGAGCAAGGTTTTTCTCCACCTTCCCACAAAGGCTTTCGCAGCAATGTCACAGATTTGACCTGACCTCCGTCTGACCACACATCTGCCTATGTAACCTCAACTGTCTGAGGTTGACCTCAATACCTGGAAAACTGATGATGTCCCTGAGGCCTGACTACTCTTCTCCCGTCTCATCAGTCACTCCAATGACTACAGCTGGGTACTAACTGGAACTTTTTAATGCTAATACAATAGGCTTCAATTTATTACAGTGCCTGAAATTCATTCCTCAAAATGAGGGAGGGTTTATACACTTCGGTGTGAGCTTAACTACACTTATCTTGTTCTGTTCTTACCTCAGACTGCATGTCGTTGTTGTCCTCTATACATGTTGATGTTATTTGTTCCCTGTCTCTAGTGCTCATCTCTACGAGCTCTATCAGTGTCTTTACGGGTCATATCCACCAGTGTTTTTTTCCTGAGGCCAGTATATTTTTTTAATTCTTTGCAATAAAAGCTGCGCTGGTCACTTTCACATTTTACAGCTGTTTAATCACAGCGGAGGAGGGACAAATAACACGAAGACCAAACACCCTATCTTACATGTACAAGTGTGTGAAACAACAACAACAAAAATGGAGGAGAAAGATATTAATATACTGTATATTGTATATCTTCTCTAATAAAACCACACAGACTGGTGGGTCTGTCTTTTGTCCCTGTGGGCTTCAGCCTTTGCTTCATCCAGAGCAAGTACTCTACCCTGCGGCAACATTTTTACTTCTGCAGATATTCCGTATCATGGCAACCAGACACCACACCAAAACATCTCAGCTGAAGAAACACAGCAAGCGCTCCTAGTTGGGCGTTTACTGAGGAGCGCCTGGCGATTTCAGCTGGGACAAAAATTTGGTGGACACAGGGCCTAAGTCTTTTGTTGGCTCCCTCTTCTCACGTTTCCATTCTCTGCTGTTAGAAAAACACCATCTGACATCGTGCATTTTAAAAATCAAGCAGCTCATTCGCTGTTGTTGAGTTTGAGCCACGGATATATTCTGAGCCTGAAACGTTTCTGTGGACTGCTGACTCACCTTAGTAACCGTTACATGTTTGTGGGTCCTGAGGATGCTGTTAATATTGACGTGAATCTTTTGGGTTTCACTGCTTGTTTTGTGCGTTAATCTACATTTTAATCCACATTTGCGTGCTTTTAAATTGAAAGGAGCTCTCCTGGTGTGTTTGCCACATTTTCCAGTCCACAATTGTGAAAATAATTTCAGAATTAAGAGAAACTGAACACCACGTGAAGAAATCCAACTCACCCTAATAGAAAATTATCTCATTATAAGTTAAATGATGTCATATAACACCACAAACGGTCATTCATATCTTGAAGCTCAGCGTGTTTGGCTGCTGTGAGTGTGCCAACCTGATGATAACATCACATATCTCCTCAGCCTGATGGAGTTTGTTGGCTATTTTACAAAAAGCTGCTGCTTAGCACCCGAGAAGCCGGCGTGATGAATTTGACCCTTTAATCTCAACATTGACAACTTCTCAGCTTGAAAACGTTTAGCCCCAATTAGCAGGATCTTTCTCATCAACACACTGAGAAACCATCTATTTTTCAAACGTGTCTTTACTCACATTATCCTGCTCTGTTGGGAAAGCACCAACGCCCACCCGGGTGGTGTACGCTTTGACGACGCCATACACTCGGCCGACGTGCGATGGAGGCACGCCAAGGCCTGTGCACACTCCTCCCACAGTGCAGTTAGAAGACGTCACGAACGGATACGTCCCTGAGCACAGAAACACGTGTGTTAACCTGAGGAGGCAAAACATCCATCCATCTTCATAATGAATCCCACAAACCCTGCGCTCCTCACCAAAGTCAATATCCAGCAGAGCGGCGTTGGCTCCCTCCACCAGGATTTTCTTACTGGGACCAGTAAGAGCTTTGTGCATGAAGTACACCCCGTCAGTCACCAGAGGACGCAGCCTCTCTGCATATCCCTGAAACACAGAGACCAACAAAGAGAGAGATGTTCTCTAAATGTGCTGTTTGAAAAAGAATACTGTTCAGGCACAAGAACAACTAATACAACAGCTAGTAAAGCAATAATATTTATCGCTGCAACGTCGTCATTTCAATTTTGTTCCAGTCTTTAATGATGTATTAATATAATAATATCTTTTAAACAGATCTCAGCATTACAAATGATATTATTTTCAGATTAAATGCAGATTAAAAAATAGCTTCCATACACAATCAGCACACTTACATACACAGTTAAGTCGAGCTACAGTTACAGCTCAACTAGGCATTTAATTGGACTGTCCCTGTCCTGTCAAGCACAGGAGAGGAATTGAATTATTAACCGAAGTATGTCCGACTCCGCTACGATAGGTGGCGATATGCCGCCTTTCAGCTTGTTAGAATTGGACCTTTTTCCAGTTGACCTATTACGTCACAGACAGAACAATCGACAAACAAGTTAGCGGTTAGCTAACAGCAAACTGGTACCATGGTGGACAACTTTACAGCTCTGTACATTTCGTCTGTCCATTATTGCATGGCTCTGGGTGTAGATTTCATCATGTTGTTACTGGCTTCTTCTTCTGTCACGGATTTAATGCTATTCGAATTCAGGGTCAAAGCCCTGGGGAGGAAACTGTGGAGCACGCGCAGAGCGCCTCGTCCAGTTTGGGTCCGATTGACTGTATACATGCAGGAGTAATTCGACTGCCAATCGCATTATCTGGCTGTGTTAGTCCAACTTTGAGAAATTCCATATAGTACGATTTCAGTCAGACTAACATGTTTACATGTATTATAAAAGCCCGGTTTTAGTCAGACTAATGCAATAAAGCAATTTTCTCTCGAATCACGTAAATGTACTGATTGGTTTAGTCAGTATTTCCTGGCTCTTCATGGTAACTGATCCTCACCTTCAGCTGCTCCAGTTCACTGTCAGTGTCGACGTTGAGGTTTGGATACATCGTCAGGAAATGTTCTGCCAACATGCGAAACCTGGGAGAAAGACAGAGTTTAAGAATATGCTTAAAAATTCAAGTTAATGCTTGAGTGACTGACTGATTTTTTTGTGTCATGCACAAAAACATGTGCCCAACCCTCATGGGTTTACAAGTCACCATCACAATATCTCTGCAGTGATCGATCCAAAATACATGTTATCTTCCTGCTCAGTCCCCCAACATTAACACTCTGTCTTCTATTCCAGGCCCAGCAAACACAGACTGCAAACAAAGTTACCCTTCTAAAACATAACGCAAACTCTGCATGGTCATTCATGGGGTGTCTACAGGTATCAGACAGATAAATCTGCAAGTATGAAGTAAAATTATAAAGATTTGTAACATTAGAAATATGGATTTTTACATAGAAAGGCTTCACTCATTTTCACTCTTTCAAATTGGATAGAAAATGGATAAATGAAATTAGATACACAGGGATCTTCGGCTTTTGTTTAAATTATACTTCACATGATGTTCTACACTGTAGCTTTTCTTTATGAGCTGTAATTTTGTTTTATACCGACCATTTATCTCTACACATGAAAAAGATTTTGCTCTTCATCTCCTGACTTTCCTGTGTAACCTGCTCTGGGAAATTAAAGACAAATCATTCAAATAAAATAAGGATCTGAACTCATAAACTCGGTGTACCCTCTGTGTCCAAATACACTGTCACAATATGATCTCACATTATGACATACAGGACAGACATAATGCTCCAGGAAAGCATGGTGCCAGCAATTTTCACATGTGTACCATGGAGAGCTGGTGCCACCTGGTGGCAGGAGAGGATACAGATGCTACAATTATTGAAGTAGAGCATTGTGACACTTCTGCCCAGGTCAGACCAAAGATTTGTGAAGAGATGAGTTGCTGGATATAATTTGTGTGGGATTCTTGCTAAGGTTGCATTTTTAGAAGTGATGAAAGCGTGAAAGCAAAACAAACAAACAAAAATAAGCGTTTCCGATATTCATAATAAATACAGCACAATAATTTAAATGACCAGCACCAATTAATCAGTTGATGCTAGTTTATAGAATTTTTTCCTTCTTCAATTCAATTTTACAGCTTGTGTCATACAGATAGGGCTCTTCCTCAAATGACTTGATGAGGTGACCCCTTTTTCCTGCATCCAAAAGTCTGCCAAATTGAACAGCTGTCAGTTTGTAGCTGACTTGACCAGCTGACTTTGCTACAAGCTCGTTGGCTATTTGAAACAGGTGACGTGCCTTAAATTCTAAAATCAGCCACTGGCGACTTGACAAGCTGAGTGGTGTCGCAAATCTCTGGTCTGAACTGGGCTTTAAAAACTAAATGAGTAAGACACTATGGACTCTCCGATGTCTATAAGGTCAAAATTGGATTCAAATGCTATCAAAATGTTTCCCTGAACTCAAATTTGTATCTTAATATTGCAAAACTAAAACCAAACAGGCTAAGACATGAAATGCTTTGCACACTAATGAAGTCTGAAAATTAAACTCTGCATAGTGACACTATCTGAAGTTCCTATCGGCAGTCTTTGACACACTATCTCGTGAGATCACTGATCAGTGTTTTCCCGAGATAAACTGTCCTGGAGGCGGGGGTGAGGACGAGAAATGTGGGTCTTTAATTTTGGCAATATTCTAAATTAATATAGTAGAAAAGTGAACATAATCACATGTGTAGCCTGGGCTGTTTCAATGCATTTAACATTAAGGTCAACATATAGGCGCACTGCTACCTTAGCAGGAGCTGTTTTTTGTCTCTGGCAGCTCCTGTGCCTCTTTAAAAACAAACAAAATCGGGAAGGGCGGAAAATTGTCACCTGCCCAATTTTGTTCATACAGAACGCGGCATTTTCGGGGCAATGGGGGGCGTGAGCAAGTAACAAAACGTGGAGCTCAGCGTGTGACGTAAACAGTGACGTGGGAGGGAAGCCACGGCTGGTCAGGCAGCGATTCTCTCGTAAGTCGGCCCGTCCTTCACCGTCCCCGTCATCTGACAGTTAATGGCCTCTTCGTTTGCGAGGACAAGGAGGGCGCGCTATTCCTTGTCTCCCCAGTCGCTCATCTTTACAGTGTCTGTCAGGTTTGTGTTTCCCTCTTGCTACTAGCTGCCTGCTAATTCCTGCTATCAGCTGTTTCCTGTTTATCCACCGTCAGTGGGTCACACGTGCGGCGTCATCAACAGCTCCTCCCACAAGTCTTCAACAGCCCCTCCCGTTGTGGAAGGCCGCCTCGATCTGTTTAAACTTAAAGGGTTCTGCCAATATGTTTACCCTACGAGGCAGAAAATTGGGCACCTCGGATCAACTCACCAATCAGGCTCTGTGTGTCTAAACGCTCGCAGCTGGCCGGCAAAACGGCCCAACATTCACGGAAAATCTGGCAGTGTAAAAGGGGCTAGTGTCTGCATCGTCTTGGCTGCCGGGTTGATGGTGTTTGTCTGTTTCAGAGAGCTTAAATATTTTTTGCTAGCTTAGTTTTGTTGTCGGACACTATACAGTCCTTGGAAGTGCGTCTTGCCACAACTCCAAATGCTAATGAATGACGCTTTGGTCTTTAAAAGATCAACAACTATGCACTAACCGGATAAACAATCTCATTCAAAAACACAATACTTGATCTATACATGATTAAGGGACATTATTTCAACTTTAAATGTCAAGTTTATTTTTTTAATATCTACACTGGTGACAATACGGTAACAGACCATGACAATATTAAAATGACAGAAATTAGAAGAAAAACTCACTTGTCCTCAAAAACCTTGAAATCCGAGACAAGGTCGCAGACTCGCAGGCCGTTCCGGGCAGCTTTGGAGGAGTAGGCAGGACCGATCCCCTTTTTAGTGGTTCCCAAACTGCAGAACAAATAAAAAACACAACATTTAAAACAGCAATATACTATTTGTTTACTAAAAAATGATCACTCCGACTTGCGAACAGTACACATTATGATTTACATTTCACCAAAGTAAAGATATTCAGTGTTTGAACCAATTGTAATAGATTTACTTTTTCCCTTCTTGCTGCTGACGCTGCTGCTCCTGGATTCCATCAACAGCCTGATGGAAGTTGAACACTAGAGGCGGATAAACGGGACCGTCAACAAGAGGACATTTCTCATTTAAAAATCTGAATGAGGAATTCATTTACTCACCAATGTGGGCACGATCAGAGATCTTCAATCTGTCCTCCCATCCTTGTAATCCTGTACGTATATACAACAAATCCCATGTTATATATTTGTGTATAATCCAGAACCAATAAGGTTTTCCTCTTTCATTTTACCTGACAGTGACGTACATTAAAGTCTTCAACAAATGCAAATACAACACACCTTATACTTTTTCAACCTGCCTCTGGAAGGGATAGTTCAGAATTTTTGAAGTGGGGTTGTATGAGGTACTTATCCACAGTCGGTGTATTACCTACAGTTGGTGGCGGTTTCAGAGGAGCAGGAAGGAGTGCCTCCAGAGAAGCTAAGCAACAACAACAGTTATATTACCTTGCAGAAAATGGGAGCTGCTGGTCTACCATTGCCTCAGTTGGTTAGTTTGGTTGTGTTATTGTGTGACTTTCGTGTTTTAAAGGTAAGTTCGGCTACACAAAAGTCATTCAGTGACACAAACTAACCCATCGAGGCAGCAGTGGACCAGCAGCTTCTGTGTTCTGCAAGCTGAAAGTACGGCTGTAAAAGGACACAAAGGGAGCACAGGTAATGGCTTGAGTTTCCAGTCAGAGAGGGCTGTCTGACGGCAAGGTAAAGTGGTGAAAATATTCTAAATATAAAACCTGACTGATTCTTTTAAGGAGGATAGAATAGGTTCTTCTGCTGCCCCCATCCACAGCAGTACATTGCTTAGCTTCTGTGGCAGTACTTCTGTCTGCTTCTCCAAACTGGGTGCATGCCAACTGCCATCTTCATCCATTAACCATGCCACAAGTTTTCCCTCTCAACTAATCCTTTCAGGTAATTAAATGTTTAAAAACAGCACGAGTATGATTATATTTCTAGTCTGACAACTGCACTAATTGGTACACTGTATTAAATCCAAATTCTGAAAGAAATAAGCAAAAAAACAAACAAAACTTTTCACAGCATTTAACCTGTCACAGTAGGCAGAATACAGGTATTGCTAATAACATGAACAATAGCTCTGTTCATTTCCAGAGTCCCAGTAAACCATGACAGCAAGCCAATATACACAATACCAGGACGCTGACACTCGTAAATGGAATTCAGCCATCATTTTCCTGTTTTTAATTCACATTAGTGCATGTCAAAATGTCTTCTGTGAAACGACCTATTTGCTGATACTGACACGGCTTTCCAGGGAAGACAATATGTTGTAGGGGTGCCCCCTGAAAGTCACAGATTCAACTAAGATTGCTTCAAGGGGACTTCTGTGGACGTTTTGGTCCCTGGATTTTGCTGCAGAGTGAGCAGTTCTCACTTTCACACTGCTCTTTGGTACAGGTAGCTGCGGAAAAGAAGGCAGCTGACCAGAGGAGGAGGGGTCTTGTTTTATGTCTAGTGTCAGTAAAAATTGCTGTTGCACATTTCCAATCCATCATTGCTTTAGTGAGCTTGTCTACTATATTATGTGAATGTATCTGTCAAACTGAGCCCTGTTCAAACTCTCAAATTTGATGTGGAAAATAAAGAAATGAACAGTCAAATATTGGTGTTAAAAGCCAAATCTGATTCGACTGGCATAACTCTGGCATCGCTCCTTCTTAGACAACCTTACCTTTGCCTTTCTGCAGGTTCTTTTCTGCCTCCTCGAACAGACCTGGCAGGTGTATCACCACTCCGTTGCCTGTAAGGAAAAATAAAACTTAAACAAACCTAACCAGAAAATAACTTCATGCACTAACCACTGCATGAGTAACAAACTGCTAATGTTTTCCCTGAGGTTTATTTTCATAACACAACCTATCTTGTTACCAATCGCCATAATATGAGTTCCTTTAGTGCTTCCTCTTTCTGTTATTTCATAGTGGAAAAATAATTCTACCAAAAAGAGGAAGTGGAAAATCCAGAGAGTTATTTCTACGAAGAGAGCGCCACTTCCCCAACTATGTGACACGTTACAACTGATAAGGCTGTCTGCTGTGCTTCTGATGTTCACACCGATCTTGGTCATATACTGATTATCATTGCTTTATGAGGATCTTTATCTTCCCGCCAACTTCAAGTCTTTCATAATAAAACATAAGAATCATTGTGTACCAATGAAGGACACAGCCTTCTTGTTGAGCACTCCACTGGGCAGCAGGTGGAAGTCATACTCCACTGAGTCCACAACCACCGTGTGACCTGCGTTGTTGCCTCCCTGCAAACAGAACAAACAGTCATCTTTCTAGAAAGCAGTTTTCTGATGAGAGACAACACTGAAGGAAAGTACACGAGAGAAACCATCAACACTGAGGACACGTAACAGTGTCACGGTGTTGTTTAACATCTAAAGTTGCCACCTGATCAACACAGGACGCAGCTTGTCTATTCGTGCACACCTTTCTCTAATGCAAACAAGTTTTCACAAGCCTGCAGTGGTAAAAATAAACAGGGTGTGTTCAGGTATCAGACACTTTGAATTTGTGGTTTTCAAGGCTTTGAAAACAAGCTCTCAGCTGGTTTTCAAGAGATCACTGTTAAACAAATACAGGACATATTTTCATAGAAAAAAAATCTTATTCAAAGGTAAGTAGTAAATAAGAGGTCACGTGCAGAGGTAGGTTTTACATAGGAGTATGGTTATTTGAGTGAGATAGGTTAATCTAAAATCTACATACACATGGTCTGAGGCAGTTCTAGATTTGTTTGCAGAACATGGAAAAATTCAGGTAAGAAAATACGGATGGATCCCAGATTTGTGCGTAAGACATACGCACGGTTTAAGAACAGATTTGTGTGTACACACCGTTTGTTTGAGAGGCAGAGGACTTCAGTATTGGTGAGCAGACATCTGAGTTATATTAATTTTGTATTTTATAATTAGGCTATGTTTTTAATTTTTGTTTTATTGGGGTTGAGGGTTCTCTGCTAGAAATTTTGAGCAGTGAATTTTTATGCACTAATTTGTCATTAATTTATGGAGTAAAACATCTTTAAGAGACCAGACTTAAAGTCTTCTGCAACTTGAATGTTTTTATTGGGGGAGGGAAAATGCACACGGTCTAAATATTGGGGGGATGTGTCCCCCACGAAATCTACACCTGTGCAAAACAACACTTTTTCATGGTAATTCACTCACAGTAATTTAGAGTCCAAGTCTCAGTACACATATTGCACCAAAGCCTCCTTGTTGTGTTGACAAATTTTAACAATATGAATGAAGGCATTTCCTGTTTATCCTCACAGTGGATAAGGGCCTGTTTGTTGTTAATGAGAAGGGAGGGGTGATGCAAAAAGAGGAAGGCATGTCAGCTTAGGGGAGGTGCAAAAAAACTGATTTAACCACCAATTTCTACAGAAGACATGCCTTCCGAACATTTTCTTTAAAAATCACCAAATTTACAACATATATTCTGACGTTCCTTGGAAGGGTTGCAACGGTATGAGATGACAGTATGATGGTGCGATAACAGTCGTGCAGAATTTATATCATCATCAGTCAGAATAACCATTGAAGAAATGAAAACAGAAGGGTAATTTCTGGTTGAACAAACATTTTACTGCTATGACTAAAATTTGAAACCATCTTGTTAGTGGAGATATGTGTAAAAAAAGTCTCCTCGTTAAAAAATAACTAAATTAAAGGAGAGTTTCTCCGTCCAGTTGTATTTTCTTTCCCCCAATATCATCAATAAGCGATGTGATAACTGTCGACTTTTACATCACGGTATACCTTAAAACCCGAACATCCCTGCAAACCTAGTCTTTGAACACGTCATGTGTGACAAACTCTTCCATATCTAGGCTTTAAATAGTGATATTGAATCACTTTATGCAACATAGGGCTGCAACGATTAGTCGACTTATCGATGACTAATCGACTATTAAAATAACCGGTGACTATTTTAGTAGTCGACTAATCGGTTAATAGAAAAGTACTATAAAAGTCCCCCAAAATACTCTTATTGCAGCTTCTTACGTTCAAATATTGGCAGCTTTACACACTCTCCCATGACGGTGAACTAAAACCCTTTGGCGTGAGTACGAAACAAGACATTTGATGACATCATTTTGAGGTTTGGGAGAGACAGACTGACATTTTTCAACATTTTAACACATTTTTTGATAACACGATTAGTCGACTAATCGAAGAAATAATCGACAGATTAGTGGACAATGAAAATTATTGTTAGTTGCAGCCTCAATGCAACATATCACAAGATAGCAACCGGCAGTAGCTCAGTCCATAGGGGCTTGGGTTGGGAACCAGAGGGTCGCCTGTTCGAGTCCCCGTCCGGACCAAAATATGGAGCGTGGACTGGTGGCTGGAGAGGTGCCAGTTCACCTCCTGGACACTGCTGAGGTGCCCTTGAGCAAGGCACCAAACCCCCCGACCGCTCGGGGAGCCTCACCAAAGGGCAGCCCCCTCACTCTGATGTATAGGTCATGTATAGGTCCTGTTTGTGCATGTGCGTGTCTTTCGGACCTGTGTGTAATTGACAGCAAGAGTGAAAACATTGAATTTCCCCTCAGGGGGATTAATAAAGTAAATAAACTTAACTTAAACTTAAATACAGTGCTCAGAAAGACCACCTGATGAGTGACCCCTGTCCCAGGACAGACCAGAGACCTAAATATAGTTTTTTGTTTAGCTTCAGTTGATAGTTATAATCTTTGGAAGCACAACTTCCATAAAGCTGCATAAAAACAACAGAAAGCAGGAAATGAAGTGAGTGTTATAGCCAGGAAGGGCGACCAACCAAATCCCCATTTGGTGCGTACCCTCTGGGCATGTGGCCACTGCAAAGGTCTCCTTTATTTGTACCTCATTAAAGGTTGCAACCTGAATATCACCTCAGCCAGTGTTTTATTACAAGCAAGGTCACACTCCCCAGTGTCTGCAGCGACAGAGCTTCAATTCGGCTGTGGTTAGAAGATAATAAAATAAATGTGTGCTACATGTCAGTGAGTTGAAGAGGGAGAGGAGCAGCTGGGTAACACCGGGCGGTCAGAGCGTTACATAACGTTACATTCACTGGATACTGTTATCAGTATGTGGAGGTCATGTGCTGGATTCAGGACATATTTTGCCCCCAGGCGACAGATAAGAAGGGCAAATAAACAACGGAGCTCATTAGCATGTTTTTAGCATCAACCTAGCTCCTCTACATCCGGGAGGTCACACAAGGTTGTTGACGTCGGAACCAGGTCATGAATATGACGCGGACGACTTTCACCAAACTCCCGTGTTACCGTTACTTTTAGTAAGGACGCCCCTGTGTGAAGCTGTGTGAGTGTGAAGTGTGAGATTAAATAAACGGTGTGTCCGTGTACCTGGCACCTGCAGACGATATCCGCATCCATGGCGAGCAAGTCCACAACTTTTCCTTTGCCCTCGTCGCCCCACTGCGCCCCGAGCACGACGGTCACTTTGTTCGGAGGCTCCTTAGGGACCCGGAGAGGAGACTCCTGGGAGGCGCTCTCCCGTGGCCGCTTCACCACCGGCTCACCGTTCAGGGAGGAGACGGTCTCTCGTCCGTTAACGTTAGCCATGGTGCTGTCGGATGCCATGCTGCTGCCCCTCCGTCTACAAACCGGAATATCGTTTTACCGCGTTTCTGTGCGTCACGGGAAGTGCTGGTCTGCCGCCTCACCACCAGGTGTCACTGTTTCCTCTGATGAAGACCTTCATTTCTAATCATAATATTTTCACCAGAGATATTGGCACTCTGGCATCAAGGTGATAACAAAGTACAAACACATGACATTTTTGACTGTTGTATTTTATCACTTCTATTTCCTCTGGGTATGGTTTTCACAAAGCCTGTACAGGTTTCTACCACATTCTCACATGCACTTTTTAAAATATTTTTTATTCCTTTTTGTTTTGTATTTAGGTATGTGAAACTAATAAAAAAAATTACCGACAGAGCATAGAACTCTTATGTATACATAAACAACAACTAAAAATACATAAATATATAGAAAAAATAAAAGGGGCAGAGGTCTAATCAGAGACAATGTGTTATGAAAAGTGCTCTATAAATAAATGTATCCTTACTATTATTATTATTATTATTATTATTATTATTATTACTATTGTTATTACACTAAAGAGCATACTGTCTTCTCTTGTAGTCACTTCCAACTACACTGAGCTACATTGGAAACAATTGGAAGAATGAAAATAATTTAGTTGTTGAACTCAGATCACATGTAGATGTAATGTATGGACTGCTTATTTAAGGAAGAGCAATTAGAAAATTTGCAGAATAACACAGTTTTAAAAATGGGAAAATATTATATACACAAATCAAAATTTATTAAAAAAAACCTATTTTTTTATTTTTTATTTTTTTTTTTTAAATAAATGTCGCCTATATTGTAAAGCCCTGAAATATTTGGAGTTTAAAATCTGGGAAAATAATAAACAAATAAAATAGACAATAAAAGAATAAATAAAGGAAAAGGAAAATATGCTCTTCAATATAATAATAATAATAATAATAATAATAATAATAATAATAATAATCTGCTAAGACCTGTAAGCTTTTGCAAATTAATAGGGTTTGAATTTAGTGACCTTTAATTCAAATTGAAGACCACTTATATTTATTTACTAATTTTATACTAAATTTAATATATATATATATATATATTATTATTATTATTATTAGGCCCTGGTCATAATGTATGCACTTTAGTTTATTTCCTTATTGTTATAGCTTGATTTTAGATACTTAATTGTACTGCATTTTCAATTTTTACTGCTCAGAAACATAATGACTGAAATACTCTGTTCAGTCTGCCTTGTTTGTAAATTTTTCGTGCAATAAAGAGAAATAAAAGGAAAAGTTCAAATCAACACTATAGCGTTGTGGGCAACGTGGCTCGACACTGACATCTGGTGGTGTAACCATGTAATAAAACCACAAATCCACCATTATATTAAAGTGTACTCTGTCTCTCAGCTCTATAAATAAGTTTATAATTGTCTAAATTGAAGATGATATGGGGCTTATAATAAGCACTACTTTCCATAATAAAAATTCACCACTGTATTAAACGCGGCACCCCGTCATGCACAAATTATTATTAGTATAGTACTATACTTTGTATAAATGTGTTATATTATATCTAAATAAATGTGTGTGCACGTGTGCGTCTGTCTACGTGGTTGTTAATATAATTCTATCACTCCACACAGAGTTGACGTGTAGGGATGATCTCTTTTTTTACCCATTAAAATATTAGACAATGAATTGCTCTTTAATTTAGTCTGTTCAAATTATATTTTATTGGCAAAACAGGTAAAAATACAAGTACAGTTCATGAGAAATAATGTAGATGTGAAATTTGTACACCCATATAAGCTGCCTAAAGCTTGAGAACAGAGGCCCATACATTAAAATATGTTTACCAATGCAGTGTCTAGATTTCAGAAAAAGAAAGTGCATGTAATATACCCTTATGCTAACTTCTAAATGGCCCCGGGACATTTAATTACAGATCATCAATGTCTGTTCGTATTGTTCAATTAGTTATTAATTAGGCCTAAATGCTTAATTGGTATTTAAATAAACTTAATTTTGAAAATATAAAAAAAGTGTTTCCACTGATATCTCTCTGAATATCACAATAAATCTATTCAGGCATCAATTTATTTTCCCTCTAGATCTCTTTGACTGGCTATAATCGATTAACCGATGCAGTATTATATTGTTTGAGTGAATATTAAATTAAAAACCACTGCAGTTGAAGAGACACCGCTATAAACTAAAAGTACACACTCATGTGAAGTGAATCATTCCCCTGCACTGTCGCTTTCGCCTTTAACCTCCGGAAATTACCTCTGCCCTGCACCGTCTGCGCATGCGCCAAACCTCCACCATCTCCAACAGTTAAACCTGCCGTGGTTTAGCTACTCCACCTGAATCCCATATCATAAGAGAAACTAGGCCGTGTTTAATAATTAATCTCGTCATACTTGGAAATGTCACATTAAAGAGCTGAGGAGGAGACGTGTTTGCTCTGCAGCTGCACGGTGCCTGCTCCTGCATGAAGACGGATATCTCTCTTACACTTCTGGGTTTATTCTAGTTTGTTTATCACGTAAGTGTTCACAATGATGTGCACGTTAAAGAGGATGTTGCGACCCGCGTGGGCTCAGACTCAGACTCAACTGGCGTGGAGATACAAGGTGCAGATCCGCGCATGTAGCTCTGCAACTATCCAGACACAAGATGACAGTCTTGGTGAGTTTAAATACACTGTGACTCATCCAGACAAAAGTGCAATAATTTAACTCAATGCATATGACACCAACAGTGCTGGACTACAGAGGGACACGGATGCATTTTAACTACGTGTGGCTGCGGGATCACTGCCGCTCTGCGTCTTCATACAACTCCAAGACTCACCAGAGAAACGTGGACACCGGGGGCATAGACCTCAACATCCGCCCTGACAATACAGCTGTGCAGGAGGGACATCTCATCCTCACGTGTAAGTCAGCTTTAAGTGCAGCTATACCAAACTGAACATCTGGAAATAAGAGGCTGGTCAGGTAAAGCATACTCAAAGTCAAGTCAGACTCCACTGTCTGCCTGTAATAAAGTCACTACACAAGGCTGGATAACTCAATAGGCTCCAGGGGCCCCACGCAGGTCCAGTGCATATAACTTGTTACAAGGAAAGGCAAGTTTATTTATATGGCAGTTTTTAGCAACAAGGCAATTCAAAGTGGTTTACATGAAACATTAAAAGCATCAAAATAACGTTATTTTCATTGCATTTCTTGCATGAAAAGTGCCATATAAATAAAGTTTATCATTAACACACTGGACCTTTCAGTAAAGTACTTGAGTAAATGTACTCAGTTACATCCTACGCAAACCTCCAACAGGATTCAGTGCAATACCTCCACACAGACTTATTCATCCACCCACTACAAGCAGTGCTTCCCTGTCAGCAGACTGCGAGGCGAGGAGGTGTGAATCAGAGCTTTGGCTCAGACAGAGCGAGTACACATATGAGGTGTTTTGTTGACAGACCTGTCTGAGGATAGCTGTTACGATACTACAATGACAGGTATCAGTTTATAATTGTAGTAATGTATTTATTTATAATATGCCGGTGGGCACATACCTTGTATCTACCCCTCTAATGGTGAAAAGTGAATTAGAGCACAAAAACAACATGTAATTCAGCTGTCTTTATTGAGAAAGACTTTTGTTATTTAAAACAAGTGTGAGAACAATTTAATTCATGAATTTTGTCATCAGAAAACTTGGAAACGCCAAAATTCAAATTAAAATCCCCTGATTCGCACAAACTAAAATACACTCGCTATAGCCGGGTTTTGGTTGATTCGAAAAAATGTTGATTCGCAAAACAGGGGATGGAAATAGTTATGTTTGAATTAAGTCTGATGTAGTGCACTTTCACCCCAACTGCTTCCGGTGTTTCCGGTTCACTCACAAGGCAAACACATTGCGGAAAACAACAACACAAGACTTGTGTGGACGGAGGACAAAATAAGAACATTTCTAGCCTTAATAAGGCGGTAATGCATTTACAAGCTGGTTGCCAACCACCAGAAAACGCAGAAGAAGAAGAATGCAAGACTTGTTTTGTTTTCTTTTCTGCGGAAAACTCGTGCGAGTTCGTAGTTTTCACCAAAGTCCGTACATTTAATGGAAACACACAGGATTCGTATTACTTTTAATGCGCATTTCCCAATGATTCAAATCACTTTTGGATGGAAACATAGCTACTCAGGTTCTTGTCCATCATCAGTGATGGGTAGTTGCGTGTCACCATCAGACACAAAGCAGTCTCCTTTGAGCAGCCTAGATGGTAGGCATTTGGGATCACAGGTCACATCATCATCATTAGAAAAATCGCTGTCACAGTCTGTTTCGCGGGCATTATTCTCAGACTCTGGCACAACTGAAATGCTTGTGATTTTTGCAGAGGGATCATCTGCATCAAGATGCATCATCTGTGGAAAACACTAAAATGTTTGCTCCCATGGCCACTGGGGGCCACCATTTTGTGAAATTAACGCAATTTGAAATGGATATTTTTTACCAAACAATTCCAATTCTATATCCCTGTTCATGTACAATAGTGTTAAAGATGTTCTCCCTGTATTTGACATCATTCAGTCCTTCTAATCTACCACACAGTGCAACACAGTCAGCGCTAACATTGGCAGCGCTAATAGCTAGCTAGTTAGTTAGCTAGGTAGTTAGCTAGCGCTAGCTACCAAACACTAGTAATGTTGGTTACCAAATGTTAAAGCTAACACTATCAAAAACTGTATTGTTGCCAAATATTAGCCTTTTGTAATGTTGGTAATGTTAGCTAACATTATTATCTACTGACAAGGTATGTGCCCACTGGCAACAATAGTTGCCGCTTGGACAAATGATTGCATACAGAAAAAACTATACATCCAATGCAATATTTCTGTTGTTTGGATGATTCTAGAGACTTTCATGATTAAGTAGATATATATATGTCAACAAAAAAAATATTATTATAATATGAAAATCACCTTTACTTGTGGGGGTTTGTCGTCGCCATGCCCTCAGTAAGATGGGTCAGGAACTCAACAACGCCATGTGACAGGAAGTATGTGGAAACTTAATTTTTTTTCTTAATATGATTTTCTAAGGTGTCTACTCACATATCATTGATATATAAAACATGTATAGTATTTAGAAATGTATTTTTAAGTGGAAAATGACAAGCATACACTTTGGCAACTATTGTTGCCGGTGGACTTAAATGGGTTAAAATGTTAGAGAATGTAAAATTTAAAAAAAGCTAAAATGTACTATGACAGGAATAAATTGTCAGAAATGAATATTTGCTTTGATAAAAGTGGGCGGCACGGTGGTGCAGTGGTGAGCATTGTTGTCACAGTAAGGGGACTCCTGGTTCAAACCCAGTGTGGGGGAGTTTGCATGCTCCTCCTTTGTGGGTTTTCTCCACTCCAGCTTCCTCCCACAGTCCAAAGACATGCAGGTTAATCTGTGACTCTAAATAATGCGAGGGTGAATGGTTGTCTGTCTCTATAGCCCCTTTTACACTGCCAGATTTTCGGCGAATGTTGGGACGTTTTGCCGGCAAGCTGTGAGCGTTTTGACACACAGAGCCGGATTGGTGAGTTGATCCGAAGTGCCCAATTTTCTGCCACGTAGGGGTAAACATATTGGCGGAACCCTTCTAGTTTAAACAGACCGAGGCGGCCTTCTGCAACAGGAGGGGCTGTTGAAGACTTGTGGGAGGAGCTGTTGATGATGCTGCACGTGTGACCCACTGGTGGTGGATAAACGGGAAACAGCTGATAGCAGGAATGAGCAGCTAGTAGCAAGAGGGAAATGCAAACCTGACAGACACTGTAAAGATGAGCAACTGGGGAGACAAGGAATTACACGCCCTCCTTGCCCTCGCAAACGAAGAGGCCATTAACCATCAGATGATGGGGACGGTGAAGGACGGGCTGACTTACGAGAGAATCGCTGATGGACTGACCAGCCGCGGCTTCCCTCCCATGTCACTGTTTACATCACACACTGAGCTACACGTTTTGTTACTTGCTCACGCCCCCCATTGCCCTGAAAAAGGCGCATTCTGTATAAACAAAAGTAGGTAGGCTGCATTTTGCTGCACTCCCCGATTTTGTTTGTTTGTACTGCCAATGCTGAAAGAAGACTGATTGGGCTTTCCTGCAAATTTGCACAATTCCTGTTTAAAAAGGGCTTATGTGTCAGCCCTGTGATAGTCTGGTGACCTGTCCAGGGTGTACCCTGCCTCTCGCCCGATATCAGCTGGGATAGGCTCCAGCCACCCACAACCCCTTACAGGATATGGTACAGGTACACCCTGGACATTAAAACATAATCACTAGATTGACTAGATGAGGCATTTATGACCTCAGGTCAGATTCAATCATTTACTTTTAGTGAACCAGTAAATTGCATCTACTCTGGGAACTGTCTTGAGGAGTATTCAGCCACACACAATCCAGCTGTGGATGAGTCAAACATCAGAGCACATTCTCATCACACATGACATGCAGTGTGTCCTGGGTCCAGACCTTTGAATCCACCCACCCTGCTGAGTTCACAGTCCTGCGTGTTATCAGACAAAGGAGAAGTGGACTTTTCCCTCTGTGGTGGTGGAGGTGTTTTGTTGTGTAAAGATTCTCTCTTTTGTTAGTTAGTTAGTTAATCCTTTAGGGTGTGGTCTGCACTGTGAAACATAAAATGGTTGTCTGTCTCTATGTGTAGCTGATGTAAATGATTGTTATTGATATGTTATGTCATAGTTAGTGTTTATAAAGCGCTGCTAACGCGTATGGTTTATATCACACAAGAGGCCAGTGCTGTTGTGTTACATGCCACACTTGTCACGCCTCTTTTGATCCCGCGATGCTGGCGTGCAGTCTGTAACCACACACTGGAGCGGAATGATGCCACTGTCGTTTGCCTCTGTGTAAGGCAGAATAAAGAGGGTACTTTATAGTGGCCCTATTGCCTGATCTTTGTGTAAACAAGGCTAAGGAGATGTCTGCACAGGTGAAACTGCACGGCCAAAAGTTCCCTCAAAGGCATCCATGTTTAAGTGAAAAATTGCAGCACAAGAAGCTGGATCCTTTTACAAATATTCAGAGGTGGGCGACCAAGCATGGTGACAACATTCTGCACCTTCATGCGAAAGATGTGATGATGTCATCTTTTGGCACGCAAACCCCAGCACTGATTCCAGACTTGCTGGAATCATCCCTTATACTGTACACAGCCCAGCACACAAAGGGGAAAAAGCCATGAGATTTAATTTTTGGACTGAAAGGAAAAAACAGTCCCGCAACAGCCAGGTGAGAAAAAGGAACCAGGTTTTACAGTGTGCCCTGTCAGTGAAATCTGCTGGCTTCATGTGCACACCACACATTCACCCTCGCCCTGTGACGTCACAGCTTTAATCTCAGCATCCAGTCATAATTACAGTGCAGGAACATTCAGTTTTTAAAATGTTTATCTCGGTTTCATAATAGTTGGGAGCCAAAATCATTTTTGAAATTAAATTTGATGAATCACCCAGCCCTTCACAGCAGTGCAGTCAGAATCTGGCAGACTCGAGATGCCCATGTTTTCTCGCTGTGGGTGTCTGACTGGCTCACACTACTCAGGGTTGTCCTAAAGACTGACTGATGCCTCCCTGTGGGCTGCTCGGCTGTTACAGTGTGTTTTATTTATGCACAAGAGTGGCGCTGAATCTTACATAAACAGACAAATGGGGACCCGTCAGCCCAGAGACAGTCGATGATGCATGCACTCCTGCGGGCATGCTGGCATATACACAGTGTAGTGGTGCACATTCAAGGTCAGCTGAGTCTGGGTGTGCACATCCAACGTCGGCCCATACAGATTTGGTCTACAAAGTGCTTGATCTCACTTGTGCGAGGGCCTTAATCATGTTATACACAGATCATATCTATCTATTAATTTGCTGTGTGCATTTTGATGCCAAGCTTTTATGAGCTGTTCTGCAATCCTTTATAACCTGATGTACCGCAGGACAGGGGTTATTCTGGGTTTCTCCCATTTACTGTATGTGTCTGTTCATGCACATTGCGAAACTGAAATAAGCAGCTACAAAATGGTCACAAACACTGAACTCAGTTCGGCTAAATGCTAATCCAGCAGCTGTAATCAGGGAAAATGGCTGTGCCAAGTTGAAGTATGAAGTCTTACTTCATAACAGGCCCAGATTAGCCTGCTAGGGGGCAAAATGAGCAACCCTCACCTATGGTCATGAGCTCTGGGGAGTGACTGAAAGAATGATGTCGCGGATACAAGTGGCTGAAATGAGTTTCCTCTGTGGGGTGGCTGGGCTCAGCCTTAGAGATAGGGTAAGGAGCTTCGACACCCAGAGGGAGCTCGGAGTAGAGCCGCTGCTCCTTCGTGTCGAAAGGGGTCAGTTGAGGTGGTTCGGGCATCTGATCAGGATGCCTCCTTGGCGCCTCCTGTTTGAGATGTTCCAGGCATGTCCACTGGTAGGAGGCCCCGGGGCAGACCCAGAACACACTGGAGGGATTACATATCTCATCTGGCCTGGGAACGCCTCAAGGTCCCCCAGGAGGAGCTGGAAAGCATTGCTGGGGAGAGGGATATCTGGGGTGCTTTGCTCAGCCTGTTGCCCATGCAATCGGTCCCGGATAAGGAGATGAAAATGGATGGATGGGGCAAAATTGATCTATAGGCCCCTATTGACCCCCCAGCTGCCCTTGCTCTCTTTGCAATAAATATTCTCTTGCTTTGAAGGGCCCCCGACACACCAAGCCAACAGTCAACTGTAAGTCAATAACGGGTCTACGGTGAGCTTCTATTGCCCTAGCATTTGTGGAGTGTCCCACACCTTTGGCGCTAGGTGGCCATTGCTGACCTTTTTTTTGCCCAATTCAGCATGTTGATTCAACATCTGGGCTGGGAGAACCCGTCGGTGAGAGAAATTACTCCGATCGTCAGCTCAGCTCAGTGCACGAGAAGAGAAACGGAGGTTAGGAAGGCAAACAAACGTCTAAAGTCAAGAGGGCATGAGATCAAGACAAACTTGTTATAGAAGATAATTGTTTTTGCCATTGAGCTCTTTTGCAGAAACGGTTTGTAATGATTAATGTTATTGTTCATTCACACTTGGTATATCTTACTATATAATGATGAAAACTCTGTGTGTGTGTGTGTGTGTGTGTGTGTCTGTCTGTTCCACGTTTTTCTCCTCACTGACTTGGTCAATCCATGTGAAATTTGGCACAGTGGTAGAGGGTCATGGGAGGATGCGAATGAAGCAATATTACATCAATTGGCCAAAGGGGGGCGCTATAGCAACCGATTGAAATTGCAAACTTTGAATGGGCATATCTCATGCCCCGTATGTCGTACAGACATGAAACTTTGCACAGAGATGCCTCTCGTCATGAGGAACACATTTGCCTCAAGGACCCATAACTTCCGGTTATATATATTTTCCATCATTTTGAATTCTTTTAAAAACACTTAAAATCGATCTCTTCCTAGGAAGTTTGACCGATCTGCATGAAACTCGGTGAACATAATTTAGGGACCAATATCTAAAGTTCCCTCTTGGCAAAAGTTGGAAAACTTATTAAAACTGAGCTTCTACAAAGGCAATGACTTTAACTATCTGCATTTCAACGTGCTACCTCAACTACTAATGTACAGTTTTAGCCCACTAACTATCCCACTATTGGCAATGGTACTACTGTACTTTCAATAAAGCTATAGTACTATCAAATTCACAAAAACTCTGTCTGAATACATTGCTCTTCTTAATGGGTTCAGTTGACTATTTAATCTGCAATTTCCTATGACCTGTATCCCAAACACACACCATGTGAAACTGTACGTGGGCAACTGTGCACTCAATGGGTATGGACTAGTTTTCTAATATTATACAAATATACAAATTAGTTCGCTTTTCCCCCCAAGAACAGTTTATTCACACACTGTGATCTTCCCAAATATGCTTCAACCTTTCATAAATAATTCATTAAGATGAGTCAAAATCAGGTCATGCTTAGTATTTTTTATGCAATTTCCATTTATTGTACCTAATAACAATTTTATCCATTTCTGTATCCCAGGGCCCGGAGGTCATGTGTCAAAGTACAGCCTTAGCTGGCTCGCTGAGAACAGCTACGAAGGAAAGAAGCAGGCCATCGTCCAGCCACGTATCCTTTGGAATTTGGACATCTATAAGAATGCAAACGTACCCTCATCCAAATGGGACAAGTTTATGAGCTGTGATGATGAAGTAAAGAAGTTTCTTCAGAACTACCTCCTGTATGGGATCGCTTTTGTAGATGATGTCCCAGTTACAGTCGAGGCCACAGAGGCAGTTACCCAGAGGGTCAGTCTCATCAGGTATGACGTGGTTCTTTTAAGGCCTATGCTGCTGTGTAACTTTCTCATACAAATTACATTTTCATGCCAATATTTTGCATTAATGATTTGTTTTCAAAGGAAATATTCACAGGCAGCGCAGAAGATGTTCGGCCCTGTCAACTTATTCCTAATCCACTTGTGTTTTGTGTATTATTGATCCACAAGGGAGACGACATATGGAAGAATGTGGTGTTTCACCTCAGATTTTTCCAGAGGAGATTCTGCCTACAGCCAGCTGGCCCTGGACCGTCACACTGACACCTCCTACTTTCAGGAGCCATGTGGGTAGGTGCAGCAGAGATGAAGTGATATGACCGTAATACACGGGAAGTAAAAGGAATGTCGTTTGTCAAGCATTGAAAAATTAACATTAGAAAAGCTCTTTCTTCCCAGAAACAATTGTGCAGTTATTCTTAATAATTCACAGACTATGGAGGGCAAAAATTGACATAAGTGTCAGTAAATACATGTGAATATATATAAATACAGGAATAAATAAATAGGACCTCCTACCTCATTAACATACAGACACAGATATACAGAAAATTCTATTTATGGATTTCTCAGTTTTTTTCAAAATTTATTTAAACATTTATTTATTCTTTTTTTCAGCATTCTTTTAAATCTGTATTTATTTAAACATATTTATTTCCATATTCATTCATTAAACTCTATATTTTTAATGAATTTATTGTTTTATTTTCAGATATACTTATTTATTTTTGCATTTATTTATGCATTGGATTATTTATTTCCATAATTATTTATTCCTGTATTTTTTCCATAATTATTAATTTATTCCTGTATTTATTTCAGCATATTTATTTCCATATTAATTTGTGGATTTATTTATTTATTTATTCTTGTATTTATTCATATGTTTCTATATTTATTTCTATATTTTTTATTCCTGTATTAATTCTTGCATTTATTTATTTATTTTTTCATTTATTCACTCATACATTTATTTATTTATTTCTGTTTATTTTTTTCTGTATTTATTTTTTACATTTTTTATTTATTTATTGATACTAATCTTTCGTACTCCATAACAGACTTCAGTGTCAACAGTTTTCATTGTACTGAGCAGTTTTAATTTCGATATATCTTAAATGAAACCCAAGGAGAGAAAAAGTTTTGTTTTTAACACTTTCTGACTAAATGCTGCTGCTTGCTGTTGCAGAATCCAGGTTTTCCACTGCCTCAAACATGAGGGAACTGGAGGACGGACACTACTTGTGGACGGGTTCTACGCCGCTGAAAAAGTACGTCAGAGGTCTCCTGGAAACTTTGAGCTGCTTGCCCGCATTCCCATCAGGCACGAGTACATTGAAAACACTGACAACCACCAAAACCACATGACGGGCATTGGTCCCCTGCTCAACGTCTATCCTTGGAACAATGAAATGTACCTGATTCGGTATGTCAGCGCTTTAATTTGATACTCACATCTCTGCAGTAGTGAATTATCAGGATTTTAATGTAGAACTTGATTTTAACTTTATACATCTCACTTTTTTAGTTATTCATTACTTCCCTTGCATGAATATAATAACAAAGCCAGCTTGTCCTTAAGGTTGGTTGAGAAACTTTAAAAGGTCCTCAGTAGTTAGAATTTCTTGCCACTTTTTTAAGGAATATTCAGTAGCTTTAAAAGTATGCTTGAATGTTTAAAGTTTACAAATAACAAGATTGTTGTGTCTTTTTTCCCAACAGATACAACAACTATGACAGATCAGTGATAAACACAATACCTCATGATGTTGTTCGGCGATGGTATGTGGCACATCGAGAGTTGACGACAGAACTAAGGCGGCCAGAGAACGAGCTGTGGGTAAAGCTGACTCCAGGGAAAGTAAGAAACTTACACTGTTCACGAAGGGGGTGCATTCAGAAAAGTCAAAAAACAAAAATGTATAAATGCTTTTCCAAAATGCCAATTTTAATCGATTAATTTACAATTTTAGGACAACTGAATGATACAAATGTAGTTCAGTGTAATCTAAGGATTTGATTTTCTCTTTTCTTCATGAGGTGATTTTCATAGACAACTGGCGCGTCATGCATGGGAGGGAGTCTTTCACCGGCCTGAGGCAGCTCTGTGGATGCTACCTGACCAGAGACGACGTCCTCAGCTCTGCACGCTGCTTCGGTCTGCAGGCCTGATCCCGGACATGAAGCGCCTTTCACCACTGTGCCTATAGATTAGCCTGTGTGTTCAAGGTTCATTTTTTGCCATTGTACAACACAAACTTGGATAACATGTAATGCAAGCTGTAGTTCCTTTATGCTATATGATGGAATACGGAGGATAAGTTAAGGGCTTGCTTGCCAGACAGCAGCAGGGTAATCAGGCTCTGCTGAAGTACCTCCTTTGCCTCCTTTTCTGTAAAACTAACACTCTTTTTGCCAGATTTGCACAAAAAGCCGTATTTTGTTCAACAATCAACAGTCCTGCTTCCTGTTGTATTTTACTCACCCTTGCTCTTCATTTTTTAATTAACATTCATTGATTGTATTTCCTGAACTACACTTGAAACAAATGTATAAGCTCACAAATGGCTTGATATTGTTGAGCTCATGCGTCATATGATCACATTAAATGTTATCATGGAGAGTTGGATTGCACAAAATACATAAAGGAGTCAGTGATATTACCTTTCAGACAGTATCATTACAGTAAGTTACAACTAATTAGAAGTAAACAACAAGCTTAGGCTCAGTTGTTTTTTTTAACTACCTTTGACTTGATGTTGGCACTTTATGTTGGCACTCAAGGACGTCTTACAAGACAGTTAAAAAAACAAGCAGCAATGTATCCTTAGACCAAAAAATCAAACAATTCAGTAAAATAAAATAAAAGTTAATAAAACGACTAGACAGAAATCATAATTATGTCGTTGGGGAGAGAGTTCCAGAGGCGGATGGCAGTATGGCTGAAGGCTGTAGAACCCATGGTAGTAAAACTGGCAGATGGTGATGTGAGTTGGTTTGCAGAGGGGAATCTAAGAGTATGTGAGGGTATGTAGATATGAAGGAGTTCAGACAGGTAGTAAGGGGCTTGATTATGAAGGGCCTTAAAAGTGAGAAGCAGAATCTTGAGGCCAGTGAAGCTGCTGGAGAACAGGAGTGATGTGATCTGTGGAGGGGGTTCTGGTAATGATACAGGCGGCTGAATTCTGGACCAAGACACTTGAGCGGGAAACCAAAGAGGACAGAATTGCAATAATCAATAGGAGATGTAACCAAGGAATGAACAAGGATAGCAGCACTCTGAGGTGTAAGTGATGGGTGAGGACAATTAATATTTTGTAGATGAAAGTATGCAGGCTGAGTAACATTATTGATGTAACACCTCAAAGGCCAATGTACTGTCCAGGACGACACCCTGACTCTTAAACTGAGGGGATTAGCCAAAGTAGATTTAGTACCCACAAGGAGAACCTCAGTCTTATCAGGTTGGAGAAAGTTGCATGAAAGCCAAGTGCATAGATAGAGCTGGGTGTCATCAGCGTAGCAGTGGAATTGAATACTAAATTTTCTGAAGAGTTAAAGGATCATTTAAGTTATTTCAGTTATTATAAGTCATCCTCTGGGGAACATTAACCTCTGTACAGAACTTCAGAAGTTGTTGAGATATTTTGGGTCTGGACCAAAGTGGTAGACTAACAGAAAATACTGAGTAACATGTTGGCAGAAAGCTGCATTCAAAGTTAACTTAACACAAGGGTCATTTTATGTTACAGTAGTGAGGTGTGTGAGTGTAAGATATCTCTGGGCAGTGAGTTGTCCCTCTCAGTCTAAATGCAAACATATTTTATGATAATACATTTTAGAATCACTTTCCAGCATCTGTTTACAGATGTGAAATTGTTTGCCAACATGCTTACTGATTTACAGTTTCAGTCATTTATCTTTCAGTTGGCGGATTAACAAGTCACTTTAAACTGTGATACTGACAGCCAGTCTGCAAAGGAAGATCCTTTCACTTCGGTGTGATACATGGCCAGGTGCTGTCAGTGTGTAATGGCACCTGACAGTGTCGGGGAAATAGGGTGAAAAGTCCGAGTAGGACGGGTGGGAGGGGTCCAACAATAACCGACTATCACCTGGGATGACGGTGTTTGCTTCTTATATGAATGTAAAGCCAAACCCTGTTGTTTTCTTCTAAACTACATGCTTTTGTTGCCTATCTGTGAAAAGGGAAGTGTACTTTGAAAGGACACAATGCATGTAACAGGCTGAAGTTGACACAGCGTCCTAGAATGTCAACAACCGATGCACCCATGCTACCCTACACATCACATGTAGACATGCAATGTCCACAACCAATATGTGATGAGGTCAGAGTGAGAATGTGTTGACTTACTAACACAAATGTCATGAGAAGTGGAGCAGGCCGACCCAAATGCAGGAGATGGAAGGCAACAGCAACTCAAAAAGATTACTCCTTTCCTACCAGGGAAACAGCAACTGAACATCACACAAGTGAATCAAGGATCCAACAAAAACTGAACTGAAAACCAGGATTTAAATATAGACTAGTCTGATGGGGAAATGAAGAGCAGGCGGAGAAAAAGGGTGGAGAAGCTCAGGCGTGGGGAATAAGGTGATGAGGCAGAAGAACAGGCAGGGAGCTGATTGGCTGGGAAAAACTCAGGATTGCAGCAAGAACTAATGAGGCTAATACAGGACAGGTATGTAGGTAGGAGGGGACAGGAGGGGAAGAACACAATAAACTGAAACCAAGAAAACTCAATTTTCTTAATAATAAACTGACCAAGTGAAAACTAAGTGAGAAAAACTCATGAAGCCTACTTAAATGAGTCCTAAACAGACACTTAGTCCAATCTTCCCAAAAGTCTGAAGGCATCAGGACATAGCCGATATAATATAATTTATTACTTCCCACCTCCTAATTGTAAAACCACCACAGAAGCTCATGGGGCCAGATGCAGCAGTTACCCAGGTGGGTGACTTCACACATTTGGTAAGTCTGAAACTGTCCCTAAATTCGGCTAAACCATTGGCGCAGATTTTGAAGGAGACTCAGGGAACATGTCCCCCTCAATATTTAGAACACAAGCATTGTCCCTGGCATAAAAACCATTAAAGTAGCAGAGGACTTTTATTTATTTTGATGAACTGAGAACGTGACTTATAGACATAAAGCCTGATTTATGGTCCTGCGTTAAATCAACGACGTCGCTACGTTGCAGAAGGCTCCCCGTAGCCCCCGGCGTAGCCTGACGTGCACCTCCCCAAAAATGTAACTACACGTCGAGGCGACGCAGACCCAGCGCAGACCAAGAGGGCTGTGATTGGTTTGCTTGGTAGCAACGCATTTCCAGTTCCGTATTTCCAGATTGCGCCATCCCTGCCATCTTTAAACATCCTCTGTTGCGATGTAGATGTTGCACATATGTTGCAGTATTAAGGCCCATTTATGCTCAACGTTCAATACGGATACGGACGGAGCCGTCTGTCCGTGCTCCGCGTTCATTTCTCTGTGACCGGAAAAGCCGGAAGCTAAACAAAGAATCAACTAGAGACAACGATAACCATTCAAGAAAGGAACGCAGCCTCCTACCGCTCTGGCGGTGAATTGCACCACGACGAAATGGAGTGACGGAGAAGTTCGAAGGGTTCACGACGGCGTCACGGCAACGACGGGTATGTTGTAGGTACGCCGCAGGACCATAAATCAGGCTTAACAATGCCTCTGGTAAAGTAGGTGACAGGAAGTACAGAAAGGTGCATAAAAAAATCACCAGAATGAAGGAAATTAAGTGTTTGATGCTCAAAATTTCTCAGGAGAGAGCCCCCTGACCTCCCACTTAATAAGTGCCCCCCTTAAATGTTGATACAAAACCTACCCTCTTGAGCCAAACAAGTTTCTAATAGGCTAACCTTACTTGGGTTCTGCTGCTGATGTGGTACAATATGGTTGTGTTGCATATACAGCAGCACACTGAAAGCAGACTGTGAATTATCCATGTAAATTAGGTTGGCAAAAGCTCTTCTTAGTTAAAGTGTAACCTGTGAAAGAAAATTAAGGTGGCGCAGAAGCTTTTCATTTGGCTCCATAAAGGAAAATATATTGAAGGTCTGTGCAGCCTTTGCATTTGCCAAATAATTATAGAAGAGTTTGTGATCAAACCAGTGACTCAATGATTTCTGGCCTTTACATTTCTGCCTGGAATACAATGGCTGAAGTTGTCGCCACAAAAATGAAAATCTGTAGAACAATGTGAAGACAACATAAGTATGTTTTGGATCTATAAAAGTAGGATCTTGACTCAAACCTGAAGACATGACAGTGCTGCTGGTGCTACATGTTCACTGCCACCTAGATGAAACTGAATACTATCGATTATGGTCACACTGAAATACCTACATGACTCATTGACTCAGAAAACATAATATTTTATTTTAATCAGGATCTGAACATCATTACACAAACTTTATCCACAGCTGTTTGACAGTTTGTATTAGCCAAGATCGATTAAAAATACATCTGAAAGCCCATTTATCCTTTGCTTTGGGAGTTAGTTGGTAATATCCATTAACTGTAAAAAAGGATTAATTTTTTTATAGTTAATGTTAAGGTTCTGTATATGACATTCAGAGCATTAATATAGCAGCAAATCATTATTTGCTATGTAAAGATATAGATAAAGTCAAGCTCCCTCAGAGTGTGATGTAATCCTAGCTTCTCTACTTGTTGTTGTGGTAGACCAGGCATAGGCCAAAAAAAAATCTGACTGAAGCCACAAAACATATTTGAGCCTTATAAGGAAGGTAACACGAAGCTTATTACGTCTTAAAGGAGTTACATGTAAGAAATCTAAAGCAAATAGTCGTAAAATCATCCTAATCAGAGAGTAAGGAACAATGTTCATATAACATACTAATCTCACTGACAACAATAGTACAGCCAGAATATTTGCATTTAAAAAACAATTTTACAGTCCACAAATCATGTTTATGTTTTGAATTTGTGTTTTGGCCTGTTGCGCCACCCACCACCGTCTACCAGTCACGCAGTCAGTAGAGTCTCAGCATCAGTTACAGTTACAACTGAGCTACAGCAGCACGGCAAGCAGCATTAGCAGTGTCCCGGTACATAGAATTAGCAGCTGGCTCCTCCTCCGCTGTATCCCGGCAGCGTTAGCAGTCCCGGTACATAGCATTAGCAGCCGGCTCCTCCTCAGCTGTATCCCGGGAGCAGCGTTAGCAGCAGAGAAGCTGGACTTGCTCGAACAGTTCGCTGGAAAACCGAAGATCAAGGACGTGGCGACGCGGCTCTGCCACGGCAAACAAATCAGTCTCCAGCGTGCCGCTGTCCAGCAACTTCGAATCTGTAGGGGAGGGGGGCGGACACGACTCGCGGCAGTATTTTGAATTTGAGTGCAGTAACCCTTTTGGCCACATTCTTACATACAGCGCCTTTAACTAACATTTGTAACTTCATGTCATGGCGGCAGTGTTGCCAACTCTTCAGTAAGAAAAGTAGCTATTGGCTGTCCTAAAAGTCGCTAGAAGTCGCTAAATGTCATCACCTAATTTGAATAATTGTCCATATGCATGTAATTGTAATGGCTGCTGTAGGAGAGAGGAATAACGTCGTGGGAAAGACAAAAACTGAGTAAAAAAACACCCTGAATATGTTTAGAACTACAAATGAACCTTCTTTCAGTGATTTATATTAGACAAAGAAAATTTTACATTTACATCCTGCTCTGACTGTAAACCAGGTCGGGATCAGCCAGCGGCGGTTCCGTGCATGCGCAATTCACTTGCAGTCTGGGCGTGGAGGGGTTAACATCTCCTGCTCTGACTGCTGCTGGGAGGGAGGACTGGGCCGTCTGTGAGTGCTTTGGGGCGAGAGAGGAGCCCACGGCAGCACCCGCTGCTCATTGAGAAGAATAAGAATGATACGTGCTCTCACAACAGAGTCTCCAGAAGTCTTCAGTAACATCAGAAAAAGTCGCTAGATTTATCGCTAGTCGCTTTTTTGAAAAAGAGTCGCTAGAGGGGTCTGAAAAGTCGCTAAATATAGCGACAAAGTCGCTAAGTTGGCAACACTGCATGGTGGCGCAGACCTCCTGTTTATTTTTGTAAGCTGAAACCATTTTCCATTTACGTTAATTTCGCAGATAAGAAACAATAAATTGTGAAGACAATAAAGCCTCCACAAAAATAGCATTTTAAGTCTTGTGTGTGATTTCCTGGCAGAGGAAATCTCCACTCATCGCTAGGCTAATTTATACAACGTGAAATGCCATAGGCCTGTGCTTATAACGTTAGCATGTAGTATTTGTTTGGAAAACGTGTTTAGTACAAGACAGTTGTTTTGTCAGTGAACCTTTGAGTTGTAATGGAGCCGAATTTTGTAACGTTACCTTTGTTAAATGTTGCTGTGTCCCTGGCTTCATAGGAGTTAAGGAAAAGTAGCCGCTAGGCTAATTCATACAATGTAAAATGCCATAGGCTTGTGCTAATAACGTTAGCATGTTGTATTTGTGGGGAAAACGTGTCCAGCAAAAGAAATGCTTTGTCTGTGAATCCTGTGAGTTATAGTGAAGCTGATTTGTGTACTTGTGTTTGAAATTGTCTCTATTAAGCCATGTTTAATGTGTGTTTTATGTATGTTTTGGGTGAGTCAACTAAACTTTACAGCACTTCACAGAAACCTCCACTGCTGACTAGTGTTTTGGAGGTGTAACTGCAGAGTTAGCACTGTCACCACTGTTGCCATTGTTACCACTGTTAGCTACCAGCCACCGGATCAGCCACCTCCATGTTGAGAACCATGAGCAAACAATCCTGACCTGTATCATAGAAATGCTCTGAATGTTGTATAGAGCTCCTTTAAGATATTTTATTTTACACAATATTATCTTAATAAAGGTGATTGTACTGATGCATGATGCAGATTCTACCCGCAACAACCTGTTTTTTTTTTTTTGTCCTATTTCAAACAATAAATTCAAGTATTTGTTTTAATATTATGTAGCTTGTATATCCAATCCTGGGCTCATCAACATGGTTTCAAAAAACAAAAGCACTGCAAACATTCAAGCTAATTTTATGTTAAAAAACTGACACATGAAAAAAAGCTGTTAAAGGCTGGATTGATGGTAAGCATAAAAACTCTGATTTAGAAAACAAGTAACAAAATGCAGAACCTGAACATGAGCTCTGCCATATTGATTAAATCTGAGAGTGACATATAGTGAAGACTGAACATCCTATTGTTCAGAGGAGTGACGTTGCTCCAGTTGTTTTCAGCCGCCCCTTTTTTTTTTTTTTTAGGCTTGTTGCTCTTCTGCCTCAGCATGGAGGCTGCCAGCTGTGGTTGCCACGGGAACACTCTCTGAGGCTTCCTGGGCCTGAGGAGAGCTCCTCCTAGTGGACAGAGGGAGAGTTGATGTGTCACACTTGAACTGGGAATAACTTGATGAAATGCAACAGCATTAAAAAAATAAAAGTAAAAGTCTAACTTCATCTCGTTGGCCTCTGATACTTTGACCTCTTTGTATTTGTGTTTCTTCACAGTGTGAGCGATGAACCACACAACCAGGAGGATCAGTACACACCCGAGCAACGCGCCGATCACTGCACCAGCGATCACTCCATCGCTCACTTCTGTACAAACAAAAGTGAATGAAACCTTTTGAAGTATTTTTATTGTTTTTTTGGTACATAATTTCAACAAAAAAATAAAATGTAAACGTACCAGCACTCAGTTCCACAATGCAAGATGCAGATCCCACTGCATTTGTAGCATTGCACTGGTACTCCCCAAACTGAAACTGGGATATGTTTCCAATTTTCAGTACTCCAGTTGGGGTTACTGAGGAGACAAGTGTACATGTGTGTTTTAAGAGGATGAAGGCACACATGTAAACAAGTACAACACAAACACATACGCAGTACTAACCTCTTCCCAGTACAGGCCTCCTGGTCTTAGCCTGATCCAGTCTGGTCCAGGTGTACGTCGGCTTCGGGCTCCCATGCTCACTGTGGCAGGTCAGAGTAACCAGGTGACCCAATTCCACGTCACCGTGGACGGAGCAGTAAGGAACAGAGGGCCTCTCTGACAGACCACAGGAAGGATGCATGAGTTTATTTGGTGACTTTATATTTGGTAAACCTTCTTTATTATGGTGCACATGTTCAGTCAATAGAAATGAATGATACTTTTCATACTGTTGCAGCAACAGCTTCAGACTGAATTGATCCTGAGAGGTTTGGTCATAGAATTTGTGGAGCACCAAGTCTGATATGATTATGCATTTTCAGTTAGTCTATCAATCACTGCCAGTTTCATCTAACTACTTTAATTATACTTTAAAGGGAGAGTTCACCCCAAAATCAAAACTACATATTTTTTCTCTTACCTGTAGTGCTGTTAATCAGTCTAGATTGTTTTGGTGTGGGTTGCTGAGGGTTGGAGATATCAGCCGTAGAGATGTCTGCCTTCTCTTAACTCTAATGGAACTAGATGGCACTCGGCTTGTGGTGCTCGAAGTGCCAAAAAAAGTACATTGGAAAAATTCAACAGCAATGTCTCTTTCTAGAAATCATGACCTGGTTAATCAAGATAATCTTTAAACATGTGGGTCAGATCGCAGGCGTTGGAAAACAATTATATCAAAATAAAATAATAACAATATAATCTAATTTAATGTTGTAACATTTTTATGCTCTCATTGTTTACTTCTGTTGCGCCAGCTGAAATATGAGAGCCACTTCAATCAGATGCATTACCAACAGACACATTTACTGTGGTGATGCTGGTCAATATTATAACAATACGCCAAAAATATTCATTTGAATTGTTTTTTCCTGAATTACCTTTGCTTTACTACACAATACTAACCTGGAAATCCAGATGCCCCGCCCCCAGCAAATTCGAATTTGCTCTGCACGGGGATCTGGCCCCGACGAGCAGAGCCCGTTGAATCGCCATCGGACCAATCAGATCACTCTATCTGACAAAGGCGGGCTCTGGGCGAGTAACATGATGACGACATTGCTGCACTGTAAGAGTCTAAAAGTAAACAGCCAAGATGGCAGCTGCTGAAGGACCGCATCCATTCAATTTAGCTTTGGAAGAAACGCTAAGCCAACTACACTTATCTTTTTCCTTGAGAGAGGAACAGAAGAATGCCCTAGAAGCCTTCGCTTCTAAGAAGGATGTTTTTACCGTTTTGTCGACGGGATACGGCAAGAGCATAATATATCAGTTAGCCCCACTGTTCAGCAAATAAATGGGGCTTAGTGCAATGAACACGTCATCTTGTTTTTTGCTCTGATTGGCCATCGTGCTATCCAATTGCGTGCGGTGGCATTTAATATGCCTTAGTTAGTGCTGCCCCTTGGGTAGGAAGGGTGTATTGGTGAGGGCCAGACTCAAAATCTTTCTAGATTTGAGTCTGGATTTCCAGGCTAACACAATACCTTAGTTTCATGTGCATAAAATGTCCCAAAATGATCACTTTAAATGCGTTGCCTAACCACATTATTTGAACTGTGTGTGGTTATTATAGGATTTGCGGTTTCGGGTCAGGCTGCAGATCTTTTGTCGACGGGTCGGCTGGGATTGTGGAAATAATTTGTCATATGTACACTGTACATTGCATGTTGGATGTTGCATGTTGCACATGGCGGTGCCTGTTCAGGAGTGGGTCTTTGGTTTGGTAGAAAGAAAATAGTTGCTACATGAAAAGGCTCACAACAAAGTGTCTGAGTAACTGTGTCTTGATTTCTGGAAAGAGACATTGCTGTTGAGTTTCTCACATGCATTTTTTTAGCACTTTGAGCACCACAAGCTGAATTCCATTATATTGGAGAAAAGGCAGACATCTCCACAGCTGCATATGTTCAACACTGGCCAACTGACACCATCAATCTAGACTAACGATAAGAGGTATAATATGTATTTTTGATTCTAGGGTTAACTGTCCCTTTCAGACAGTGTTGGAAGAAGTGCCTTTAGATACAATTTTTAAACTGTATTTTGCAGTAAAAGCACCAGCACAATTGAAAAATATTCCATCATGAGTATAAGTCCTGCATTCAAAATCCTGACCAAAATATACTAAAAGTATATTTTAGATTTGTACAGTATAGTGTGTAAATCACAGCCATTGTTGTAGACAGCATGTTGGGCTTTTGTCCTGTCGACTCAACAACACTTTGTACCATGCCTGGATGAACCCATATCTATAAAGCTATAAAGAAAGATAGGAGCTGCACTGTATACTCTAAAATAGGTCATAACTGTCACATCAAAGAAGAGAAAAGATGAAATGTATAAATCTGTGTGTCTTGTAACAAAGACTTTACAGATATGTGTTTGTTGAAATGACAAATCCTTCACTTGTTGTTAATCAAACAGGGCGTTGTGTGTGTGTGTCCGTTAGTCATCACGAGGCAGGAAGTGTGTTGGGAGTGGCCTTACAACTCTCTGCTCCTGAGTTGAGACTGAATCTTTGCTGTATATTCCACAGTGCCTGCCTGCTTATCATTTCACTGTATTAATAACACAGTTCTGCTCAAACATCTTTAAAATGACAACATTATTTTTTTAATGACTGAGTTTTCACAACAAGGGTAGAGCTTATATTTGTAATTCATAATAGACTACGCTCTCTCTGTAAATATTACCATATGTAACAGCAAGCCATGATGAAAAGCTTTGATCCCACCATAATCAGCACGAGAACAGCCATACATATTCATACAGCACTTAAGCATACATCACATTCAGCGTGTAGTCCTGTAAACATTTTCATAAAGGCTGAGATTATGAAGGCGTGTGTTTAGCATGCAGCAGATGTCGATGTATATTCTGTATGCAGTACAGGGATGCAGTCACAGTCCTACTCTAATTTTCCAACACTGACAATGAGGAGACTGCTGCAGTAACCATGGAAACTACTGAGGATACTGAAGCCTGCAAGGTTGTCACTGGTAACTCAATGAATGAGAGGATTCAAACTGAATGTAATCCCCTAATCACACCATTCAGGGCCACTGTTTTAATAGATTTGTTAATGTTACGGCACTGATTAAAGATACAGTAATCTCAGCACTCAAATATCTCACTGAAATCAGAGTCATCTAGCTTAGGTTGAGTCTCACACTGGGATTTTACGTTAAAAAGTACTCGGGTGAAAGTAGCTCACTCAGAGATGATTAACGTAGCCCCAGTGTTGGGGAGTAACTAGTGACATTTAACAGAGCTGTGTAATTAAATTGGAAAATAAATGTAATTTTAATCAGTTACAGTTGCTGAGGAAAAAATATATAATTAAATTACAGTTAGGTCCTGTATCCACATGGCACATTTTTCTCAGCACAGGTGTCTTTTTTCAGTTGTCGCCAATGAGGAGAGTGTATGCGAGAAAAGGCACCATGATCAGCGTATTTTTTTCAGTGCTTCACCTTTATTTTTTTTTTTGTAGTAATTTATATTGTAGTAATTTATATTATTTCCTTTTGAACAGAAATAACCAGCATGAAATGGCATACATTGTATGGCCATATAAATCTGTAAAAACAAGGTACAAGGACCGGAGAGGTTACACAGTTATATAATTAGACAAAAGACAATGCAGGAATAAACTGAGTAAAAGAAAATTAACAATACTAAAAAATAAAAATAGACTAGGCTGGGAAATGGTGCCAATAAAGAAGCGCCAAAAACGGCAGTTCCTCTAATGGCCACTTGAGGCTGACTCTAAAAGTAAATCCCCATAGACTCCCACGTTAAAATGTCCAACTTTTAAGCAGAAATAAACGTGTTTACAGCCAGGTACAAAAATCAATTTTGGTCTCTTTAGCTAATTTCAACAGTCATGACAACTGAACAGAGGGTGATTTTTTTTAATAACTCACCTGTTTACATTTTATCAAGGACCAAAGTTACGCATATTTAAGTGCGGGGACGCTTGATTGACAGGCTATGAGTCAAATTTACCCCTCCTTTCTCCACAGCTCTAGCTTCTCGCCCAAATATGGCCACCTCTGGCTCCAAAAAAACCAACATGGCGATGACCAAAATGCAAAAAGGCTTCAAAATGGCAGTGCTCAAACCAGTGGGTGAAATCAAGGTAGCTACGTCCATTATTTATGCAGTCTATGGTTGGCTGACAAGGAGCCGTCTCTACATGCAGACAGGCTCCAATCATTTGTTATCGAAACATCGAAATGCTCAACGTCAAACCTGAAAAAATCTACAGGTAAGTAAATGTGACTGTAATCAGTCACATAAGAAAGTAATCCAAAATTAATCAAACGTAATAAGTTGCATTACTTAGATGAAGTAATTAAAATAGTTACATTGTTTAATACATTTAGGGTAACTAGTAACCTCTAAACTATTAGATTTCAAATGTAACCTTCCTAACACTCTGTAGGCCTGCATTCATATGGAAAATATGAGGAAGCAGAATTATCACTGCAGGATTACAACATTTAAATATACGACTTAAATTAAAAAAGAAAACGTAAGTGTTATTCTTGAGACCAGAAACTTCAACGAGACTGATGGTGTGCTTTGGCTCTCCTTTCTTAGCTAGCCACACCCCTATGAGCGGGAGAATAATAGCCAAAGCACCAGCACAAGGTTTCAGTTAGATTTTTTTCTCCCCTTTTCTTTGTTTTCATAGCAGTTTCAAATCACACCAGACTACACCCAGGCCCAGGTGTGAATGCTGGTATGATAAACCGGTCAGAGCACCATGCGCACACAACATGATTGGCTACTTCTGCTTTCTGCCATAATGCAAATATTCAGCCGATACTGCTGATAGGTGTGGTCCAGTAGTGTGAAATCTCACACACACCTATTGTACACTCTCACAGTGTTTTCAACCTCTTCTCAGGGCGGTGTTGATATTTGTACAGATTATTGTTATTATATATATTTTCCTCACTCTCACCCAATTACTTTTACAGATACTTGAAGTAACAGGTGAATTAACTCAAAGTCTTAAAGGGACAGTTCACCCTAAAATGAAAAATACATATTTTACCTCTTACCTGTAGTGCTGTTTATCAGTCTAGATTGTTTTGGTGTGAGCTGCCGAGTGTTGAAAATATCGGCCATAGAGATGTCAGCCTTCTCTCCAATATAATGGAACTAGATGGCACTCGGCTTGTGGAGCTCAAAGTGCCAAAAATTACATTTGAAAAACTCAACAGCAATGTCTCTTTTCAGAAATCATGACCTGGTTACTCAAGATAATCCACAGACCTTGTTGTGAACAGTTTCACGTAGGAACTATTTTCTTTCTACCGAGCTACATCCACCAACTGTATCACTGTGCAGAAGGAAGTGTGCATCTACTCATGGACGAGAGGCTCATGCTTGTGACAGCACGAGATGTAATTAATGGCGTCCTCCTCGGCTGAGCTGTAACGTTAGCTAGCTCAGTGGTGCTAGCCGAGCTAACAGTGCTCATGCTCTCTTCTGCACGGTGATTCGGTTGGTGGGTGCAGTTCGGTAGTAGAAAATAGTTCCTATATGACACAGCTGGATTATTTTGAGTAACCAGGCCATGATTTCTGGAAAGAGACATTGATGTTGGGTTTTTCAAGTGAGTTTATTTGGCACCTTGAGCACCACAAGCTGAGTGCCATCTGGTTCCATTATATTGGAGAGACGACAGACATCTCCACGTCCGATATCTAACATCGGCAACTCTCATCAAAACTATCTAGGCTATAAATAGCACTACAGGTAAAAGATAAAATATATTTCTGATTTTGGGATGAACGATCTCTTTACAAGTAAAGGTGGTCACCAATGTCATTAATGACTTGTGTTATACTATACATACAAGACAGTGAAACATTTCTTTTTACAACCCTTGGAGTTAACTTACCAAGAACAGTCACAATGATATCGGCCTCAGACTGTCCGTCCACATCAGGAATGTTGTGAACCTGACAAGTGTAGACCCCACCATCCGATGGCTGCATGTTGCTTATTATTATTGAGGCATTTTTGGTAGTACCGGGAGAAGAGGTAGGCTGCAGCCTGTCCTTATAAGGCTTTGAAATGACCTCATCTCCTGATTGGTAGTAATACACCTGAAAGCAGATGGCAACAAGTTAGGCTATGTGATACAATAAAGAGACAAATGATATTTCAGAGTAAAACCTCATTGTTGTTAAGCGGGTTTTTGTTAGGAGGCTAATTAAAGTAATGTTATAATTTATAGATAAAATGTGGATACTCAGCAATGACCCTGCACATTTGTAAGGCAGTTGGTTACATTAGAATTGCCAGAACAGAAATCTTAAAAAAGCTGTGTGAAAAAGAAATAATACATACCGTATATCCTTGACTTAGTCCCTATTAAACTAAATTAAAAAATACAAACTGTTCCCAGGGCCTAAATGAATGACTTTTAGTGTAATTGCATCCAGATGGTATCATTTTATTCAAGAACTAACTTGAGTACCTGTGGCAGCTAATTAAACGTTAGTCGTCCTGTTAAATTCAAAACTTTGAATAATAACCTGCAATTGCTCTGATTTTTTTAAAATTAAATCTGCTTTTATCTTATTTCTCAATCACAGGCTTTGTTGTCTCAGTGAGGTGTGGCTCCCTGCAGTTGGTCAACGATACGCAGCACACTGAAAAAGGCGCTAACCAGTGCACAAGATGGGCTTTTGGTAAATGTTAAAGCTTTGTAATGAAGTCCATTTAAAAGCAATAGAAAGTCTGAATATCTTCCAAAGTGGTGAGCTCAGTCATTAGATCCCACCTGGCGTAAATCTGTAACCGATTAAAAGGACAAAACGCCACTTTTGCAAACATTAAAGAAACTCCAAAGTGACTGATGTCTCTACAGTAGGCTATCACTCAAAGCCCTGTGGAGTCATTAAACAAACACTGTGAGCTCCTGGACTGAAACCAAACACACAGGGGAAAGGTTCACTTTTGTGCTTGATATATTTAATGGAATACACTGATACTGATAATACTACACATTTGGCCTAATGTGGTACAAATCTCTGATCTGGACAGCAGTGTGTGTCTACCTGCTGCGGCGCACTGGAGGACGTTGACTCAAAGTCCCACTGAATGGTAAGGCCTGTGGTGGTCTCCACGGTAGTCACGAATGTACATGGGAGTAGGACGCTTCCACCCACTGTAACATTGACGTGTTTGTGCGGAGTCTTGACTGTGATCAGTTCAACGCATCCTACAAAACAACAAGTTCATTTCAAAATCACAGATTACTAAAAGCAAATAAAAATACTCCTCAAAACACAGAATTATAAGAAGAAGCAGAGATGAAGTTACCTATTACGCTTATAAGCACCAACCAGCGCAGTGATGTGGGGCACATCTTCACACATTAAATCTTCTCAACAACTGAACTCTCTGCACTTTCCACAGTTGACTCTTGCAAGCAGAACCAGAAGAGAGGATTTAAAAAAAAAAAAAAAAAAAAAAAAAAAAAAGTTTCGATGTCGTAGGCAAGGTTACAATATGCTGGCTAATGGATTGGCTGATACTGTTGATAACACCATGTTTGCATTTCCATGTTTGCCAGACTGGGTGTGTGAAGCCTGTTGTTTTTTAAAAAAGGTTGATATAGCCGTTAATAATTTGTGGCAGGGGCAGCTGAGAACTAGAAAAAACTCACCTGTTCATACATGTATGAATACCACAGTGTGCATTCACATGCAAAAAAATATATTGAAGTACAAATTCTTTAAGTATACTCCTATGACCACATGACTAAGGTACTAAAAGTGTTTTATTTTTGATATACTAACAATGTACTTATACACTATGATATGTCAGTTGAGATACAACAAAGTTTAATTGACTGTACTATTTTAAGACACCATGAAGATATATTTAGCCTGTGTGTTTTAGCTTCTCTGCACTGGCTCCCTGTAAAATCCAGAATTGAATTTAAAATCCTACTGTTAACTTATAAAGCTCTAAATGGTCAGGCTCCGTCATATCTTAGAGAGCTCATAGTGCCCTATTATCCTACCAGAACACTGCGCTCTGAGAACGCAGGGTTACTCGTGGTCCCTAAAGTCTCCAGAAGTAGATCAGGAGCCAGAGCCTTCAGCTATCAGGCTCCTCTCCTGTGGAATCATCTTCCTGTTGCGGTCCGGGAGGCAGACACTGTTTCCACATTTAGGACTAGACTTAAGACTTTCCTTTTTGATAAAGCTTATAGTTAGGGCTGGCTCAGGCTTGCCCTGTACCAGCCCCTAGTTAGGCTGACTTAGGCCTAGTCTGCCGGAGGACCTCCTATAAAACACTGAGCACCTTCTCTCCTTCTCTCTCTCGGCTTTGCTAACACTCATGTCCTGTTACTGCATCTCGCTAACTCGGCTTCTTCTCCGGAGCCTTTGTGCTCCACTGTCTCTCAGGTTAACTCGTATTGCAGCGGTGCCTGGATAGTGTGACGTGTGTGGTTGTGCTGCTGCCGTGGTCCTGCCAAATGCCTCCTGCTGCTGCTGTTATTATTAGTCATATGATTATTGTAACATACATATACTATCATATATTAATATATGCCTACAACATATTGTACCACAATAGCCGTACTTATTAATATTATTACTTTCATTAATGTTGTTGTAAGCTACTCTCATTACCGTCTGTCCTGCATCTCTCTCTCTCTCTCTCTCTCTCTCTCTCTCTCTCTCTCTGTCTCTGTCTCTTTTTCTGTCTCATTGTGTCATACGGATTACTGTTAAATTATTATGCTGATCTGTTCTGTACGACATGTATTGCACCTCTATCCGTCCTGGAAGAGGGATCCCTCCTCAGTTGCTCTTCCTGAGGATTCTACTGTTTTTTTTTCCTCGTTAAAGGGTTTTTTGGGGAGTTTTTCCTTATCCGCTGTGAGGGTCAGAGGACAGAGGGATGTCGTATGCTGTAAACTCTGAGGCAATTGGTAATATTGGGCTTTATAAATAAAATTGATTGATTGATCTAAATACACTTAAAGGGCCTGTATGTAAATTTAAGGCGAGGATTGCAGATTCCAACCAGCTGAAATTTCTCCAGGTTGGAACACGAAGTGTTAATTGTTGGAAGGTTTTTACCGGGAGTCGAATTATCCAGAGGTTTCTTCTTCCTCAAAACAAATGGAACCAGTGATTTAAACCGGTAAAAACCCTGCATATAGCAGTTTCACATGAATGGCCCTATCTAGAGCCATTGTTTGGTTTGTCCATTCTGGGCTGCTGTAGAAACATGGCAGTGCAACACAGCGATCTCTATGGAAGAGGACCCACTTCCTATGTAGATCAAAAACGGCTTAATCTACGGTAAAGAAAATGCAATGATTCTTATTTTCAGGTGATTAAACACTGAAGAAAACATAGTTATTATATTATATTCCATTTCAACACATTCTCACTCCCATCTTGTCAAATATAAACGCTGTCTCGTCAAATTATGACGTGCTAGGTATGCTCCTGTGTCAATTTTGGATGTTCAGGGGTGATGTGTGAATTTATACTTGTTACATGCGTCATCTCTATTAAAAAAAAATCTTCTGTTTTCACAAGAAATAAACATTTTCTGCTTATTAAATGCATACAGTCTTTCAAAATACACTTAGAACATCAAAGAACATGGTTAGCTTTCGAAAAAAACATCATGGTTTGGGTTAAAAGAAAAACACTTGTTACTAATGTAATATAACGTCATGTGACATAAGTCACTCATTCCTTCAGTATTTATTGTGGAGGAGGTTATTATGGGGAGCCGAATTAGATAAGATTTTCCTTAAAGTCCCAGTGAAGGTTTCCTCAAAATAAAATCATTGCACAAAACACCCTCAAGTCTTCTCCTCAAGGTTTCCTTCAAATGTTCACTAAGCATTTATGGTTTTCTCCTTGTCTTGGTCTTATACTTAACAAACCCCTAGACTGTTGCACAAAAGACCTTAGCGACCAAAGCAAGATTAAAAGAAATCATGGTTCTTTGTAGACCTAACTGCATACTTTAGTTGCCAGGACCTATAGAAGTGAAGTTAAAACAAAGTTGTTGTTTTTTTTTTTACCAACATTCTTAGTTTAGTTTGAAAAGAGACTGTATGCACTTAAGAAGTAGAAACTGTACATTTTCTGTTAAAACAGGAGTTTATTTTAAAACGGAACAATGCATGTAACAAGCGTAAATTTAGACACTGTCCCTGAACGACCAAAACTGATGCAGGAGGAGGCCTAGTGGGTCATATTTTGATGTGTAGGGCTGCTGACCAAGTGTTGGTATTGGATGCGTTGGGAGTAAATTAAGTTTTGAAAAGAGACTGCATTTAAAAAGTAGAAACTGTACATTTTCTGTTAAAACAGAAGTTTATTTTGAAAAGAAACAATGCATGTAACAAGTGTAAATTAAGACACTGTCCCTGAACGTCCAAAACTGATGCAGGAGGGGGCCTAGTGGGTCATATTTTGACGTGTAGGGCCGCTGACCAAGTGTTGGTATTGGATGCGTTGGGAGTGAGAATGTGTTGCTTTAATAGCACTAATAATGTATCATAGCAGACTAAGTACATTGTTAGTACATTAAAAACTGATATGAAGTTTACTTAGATTAAGTCTAGTTCAGTGTACTTCTACCTTGGTTTTAAATTACAGCAAATTAAGTTACGGTCGGTGCAGCCTGTTGTGTGTGTTAGAGGTTGTTGACTTTATAAGGCAGGTTAAGGCCACGCTGTGTTGTGACACTGATGGTTAATTCATTTTTCAGTACTTTGGCAGTACTTTCACTCCAGCTCATCACTCCGTCCTCCTTGTCTTGTAAGTCATTCTGGGTCAGGGCTTCTGGCGAAGGAATTAATGTAATTTAATCTCCACCTGGCCTTTATCGCTGGCCTCAAGGAAGTGTAAGCCAAAGCTGTGCAACATGCTGCTTATCACTGGGGAGTTCACTCCCTGGTGCTGCGTACTTAATAAAGGCAGTTTCACCTTTTGTCGTTTTCGCTCATACAGCATAGAGCACAATGCTGACGGAGTGAGACAGTGAATCACACATGATTAATTGTCTAAAATTACCAGAAGCTGACACAAGTGATTAACAGTGTGAAAAATGTTGATCAGGGGTGACTGGAGGGGCGAGGGAAGCGGGGCGGTGGCACATAATGTGGGAAGTGGATGGAGGCGTGTGGAGCTCATTATCAACAGGACACTAACGTGATGGGATGGGAAGTGAGACGATCTAAGAGTCTTAAGACTCAAAACAACATGTGTTGGCGTCTGTGTGTTTGGGCGGAACTGTACGGTGCAACAAGGGGCAGTCTTTAAATAAATGAAATCAGCAGCATGTCTCATGAGCAACTCATCAGGATTCAAGAAGCATTTATGAGGAATCAAGTTACCAGCGTGAGTAAATAAGTGATAAGAGGGAGGTGAATGAATGTTGCATTTTGCTCTGATACCATAAAGTTAAGTGGGGAAACCAAACATGAAGAAAATAATAAATAATGCAAACCTGTGGTTACTTTTTCGCCGTTTTGCAACCAGATGCTAGAAAAAAAATGTTGGCATTGTGTATTTCTGCAAGCCACAGATACATTTATACATTATTATGTTGTGGATATGTTGAAACTTTACATTTTAACAATACATTTGATGTGTGGTTAGGTTTAGGCATAAAAACACTTGGTTATGGTTAGGAAAAGATCATGTTTTGGCTTAAAATACCCGGTTTGGGGGGCACAATCCCCGCTGGAAATGCAGCGGGGATTGTGCCCCCAAGCCAAGAAATACTGGTGGCACTATCTCAACTGGAAATGAGCAATATTTTGGTAAAAAAACACAACCACTTTTCACTGGACTTTCCTCGCAGAAAAACCACAAACCACCAAAACACAACCGTTTTCATTGTTTGTCTCAGATAGTGATCTGCAGTGGTTTCGTCACTTTAGACACGTTGATATGATCCATGCGAAACATTTAAATGTAATGTATTATGGTTTGTAGAAAAGTACAATGCCAACATTTTCTTCTGCTGACTGGGCTGCATTTTGTGTGCATGGCTTTGTTTCCTGTTCATGTACTCTTTTCCATCCTTGGTGTATAAGAATAAGTTTGGAGACATTACTTTTGAGAGCATGTCTTCTCTCAGACTAGTGGACAGAAAACCACAGTTTACATTTAGGTTTATCTTAGTTCAGATTTCTGTTCTGGAAATGTATGGCAAAAAAAAGTCCAAATCTAATGAGATAATGCCTCATTAGCATATTCAGACATAAAATTTCAGAAAACTTGTGATACCAAAAATAATAAGTAATCAACTTGAGAAGATTCTTGTAATACCAGTTAGTTAAAAGTTTTATCTGGGTGCCCTGTAGTGTAATAATACATGTAAAGAAGTAGGAATAAAACCAGTAAGAATTAATAAACATAAGAACCATTAAAAAG